TCCTTAAAGGGATCTTTTGGGTTTAGGGTTTAGGGTCTACTTAAAGGATCATGGGACTTAGTAACTAGGGTTATAATTAGGGCAACTATACTTCTAGCCCCAATTGAGGTACTTATAACCTTACTTGCTAAGTCCCATGATCCTCCAAATGGTTTCGGGGTTCATAGGAGGCCAAAAGGGGTTTCAGCCTATGGGGGGTTTAGTAGGATTAGGGTTCCCATAATAGGGTTCATATTAAGGAATCCCTACCCCAAGAATCTTAAACGCCCCTTTTGGCCTCCCATCAGGGGTGCATCGTATGAGTTTTGGGTTCAGGGTTTGGGGATTTCAGGGTGTAGGGTTTAGGGATTTCAGGGTTTAGGGTTTAGGGATTTCAGGGTTTTGGAGTTCAGGGTTTAGGGATTTCAGGGCTTTGGTTTAGGGATTTGGGGGCTTAGTTTAACGGTTTAACGAAAAATAAGCTACCTTTTTAAGGACCTGTATACCGAAATCATATTCAAGAACCCCTAAGGTAGGGATCATAGCGTCCAAGCAGGTTCTAGATCTTAGGAGTTTTTGCAGGGTGATTGGCTTTGTTGTCGGCTTGTCTGTGACATGCAGAGCATCGAAGTTGGCATGTTCATGCGGTGCCTGCAGGGTTTGTACAGGTTCTTGAGTGCTTGCACGATGTAGGTTTTTCTGTCAGGATGTCGATCAGTGTATGCTAGGCTCCCTAGGCATTTTGCTGACAGTTCGGTTTCCACCTGGGGATACGATTCTATTCACACACCAATTCCTGCAGCCAAATAGATTAACCCTCGCACGCGGCCTTTGTATCCAAAAGACTAGCCTCGACACCCTGGACGCTAAAGCCCATATCCTAAATACTACGTGCTACATCCTCCGCCCGCAACCCTATTCCTAAACCCCAAGCCCTGATTTTTAAAGCCTTATCAACCCCGGGCCCTTTTTGGGCCCTAGGCCTTATCCTGGCCCTAGAGGATAGACCCAACTTGGAGGATCATGGGACTTAGCAAGTAAGGTTATAAGTGCCTGAGTTGGGGTTACAAGCATAGTTACCCTAATTAAAACCCTAGCTACTAAGTCACATGATCTTTTCAGAAAGCCTTAAATCCCTCTGCCACGAAGCTCAGGGCTTTGTGGGTGTGGTAAAGCGTGTGCAAACCAGGGCCGCCAGACCCCACGGTCACGTGCATGTTTTGCTGGGTTGTCCTTGGGATCTTGTTTAATTTCCCTTACTATTTTGTAGAGAACCACAACAGTAAATATTTTTCAAAGGGCTTAAAGGACAACTCAGTTTGACACACTGATTGTTGCTTTTGTGCGTGTGTTGGTGCATGTTTCTATGTATTAATTCTGCAATCAAAACTTTCCTGTAAAATTGTCATATAATGTGTCCCCCTAACATTAAATCCCCCTAATACAAAAGTTCCCGGTCCCCGGAATTTCGCGGTTTCGGGCCCACAATTGAAAGTTAATTACAAACATCATAGAGGGGCCTGGAATTGTGTTAGTTGTGTTAGTTTTAATAAAGCCAAGACTGCAGTAGCACTAAACCGAAAGGACCAGGGCTTTAGGGTTTAGGGGTGTAGGATGGTTTAGGGCTTAGGGCTTTATAGAGTTTAGAGTGTAGGGCCTTAGAGTTTAGGGGCTTTGGGGTTTAAGGCTCTTTAGGGTTTAGGGCGCGACTGTCTGCTCTACAGCCGGAACGGGTGCGTGATGGGCGGTCTTCGTGTCTGGCTCACTATTGCTCTCAATCCGACTCATATGTGGATGCCCCGAAACCCCTCTTAATATAAAAACCTCAGCCCCGAAACCCATTTTTTATATTAGGGGGAAGGGGGGGGGGCCTTTAATATTAGGGGGAAGGAATTACCCTGGATTGGCCTGTCAATTTGCCTTGTTCCAGGTTTGACTGAACACTTAAAATCGTAGGTCCAGTTCGATGGCTATGTCTTCATGAGTTGCTGAAGCGGGGGAGATGTTCTCTCACTTCGGGTGCCTCATTGAAACCGCGAAAAAGCACGCAGTTCTAGTGTAGACAATCCTGCATATGCTGTAGGATATTGTAGAGGCTCGTAGAGGCTGATAGTGCTGCAAAAGCGGTTTAAGGGTTTATCAGATTTGAGCGTCGATGTCTTGAAAAGCTTTCAGGTTTCGGGCTTTCCTGAAAATCATAAAGCATGGTCTGGTGGTACGCAGCGTCTTTAAGTTTCCTGGGCGGCCTAGAAGGTTTTAGACATATAGTTTTGAGCAGGGTAGCCCGTAATCGATCGTTTTTTCGGATCCCGAAACCCTTCAAGACCGATCTCAACCTGAACCGCAAATCTTGTGGCATGCCGTACTTAATTGCGAGCAAGTGCGACAGAATCAAGGTCACACCAACTTTCGTGTGTCTGGAGCCATGATTCGACTCGGAAACCCTCGCGGAAGCTTCTACTGCTGCACGATGCTGCTCCTGTGTCCGGTTCAAACGTCGGACTTTTCGGAAGCACGAGGATGACGTGGCGGACACTGGGACGTGTTCGTATATAGCATTGAGCATGCGCGAGCGCTAGGCAGGCGAATGTGAATTTTTATCATGCGTCAATGCCGCGCAAACAACTCAGGATTTGTGAGATTTTGATCTGTCACGGCACGACTCTGTTGATTTGCGGTCTTCCAGCATTGCGCACAGTCACGTGGCACTAGCGGACTTTACGGTCCGATGTTCAGGCTGGGGATCGTTACTTGTGCCAGCCTGCCTCGTAGCGTGAACTTGCACTGTCTCCCATGCTCGTGTTTTTGTTGTCGACTCACAATTTTGCAACGAACCGCATGAGTTCGTACAAGCACAACCAGTCGTCGACACGCAGGGCTTCAACAGAGCTGGGTGTTTCAACTCTGCTGTATCCGCATGGCGAAGTAGAGAACGACTAGACTGGATCATGGTGGTGCGCGATGTTTAAAAGATTCCCTGGCGCGTCGACGATGCTGTAGCGATTCTTTGACCCATGACCATATGTTCCCGGAGCTGGAGCCTCAAACCTCGAATCTGCAAGTGCTGACTGAGCCTATCATATTAAAGTTTGTAAAGCCCGGAACCATGCAGTCCACAATCTTACCCGAGGCAACCAACCATAACCAATGGTTCGTGCAGTTTGCACTGCGTCAAGATTCGGGCTCATAGCAGGGTTATCGGAGGCTACCAAGAGGGTCAGGGACTTGGCACGTAGGGTTACATGTGCGGTCGCCAATTGAATCGCCTTACGTTATAGCTTCCATGGACGGTTCTTGAAATCAACCCCCCCTGTCAGGTCTCAGTCCGAACCGATCGCAGCTTTCCAAACCCTTAACTCAGCCCTCGCACCCGAGTCGCTTGAGCCAGTCGGGCCCTAGGCTTGAGGCCTGAAGTGACAATTTAGGATTTCGGGCCCTTCACAAGTTTCAATCTTCACCTTGAAAACCTTAACTCCTATACCCTAAAGCCCTCACAAACCCAAACCCCACATCTCAAAATCCTTGAAAACTGAAATTCAAAACCCTGAATAGTCCGAAAAGCCCTAAACCCCCAAAGACCTACAGGTAGACCCGAAACGTTTCAAGGTTTAAAGCCCTCAACAGAAACATCTTCGAGGTGGATGCCCTGGACAAGGCCATCGAGGCCGGCTTTGCCGAAGAAGACCAAGCCGAAGACGCATCGGGTTTGGGGTCTACGGTTAAAGCCTGAAACCACAGGCTTAGAATGCGGTGTCCAGGTTTTTAGGGTCTAGGGTCCAAGGTCTGGGATGAAAGCGTTCGGATAAAACTTTAACTTGTTCCCAGCTGATGCATTTCTGTGGGTGGGAGGGTTACCCAACACCCATGAGTAACCGCGAAAACTTGGCCTTTGAGACTTTAAGACCAATCCGTAAATTTAAAGGCCCCAAGCGATCTAAGCTAACCATGAAATTTCCAAGCCCCGAAAACCTCGTTCCAGGCACTGCGCCCGGTCTACGAGAAGAAGTGAAAGTAGCGATGTGAAGACCTTTTCTGCACCGGCTGCGGCTTTTGAATGCAGACAGCAAGGTTTTCGGGATCAGGCTTCGAGGTTTTGGGCATGGAATCTAAGAGTCAAGCTGTTCGAATTTCGCGAAGTTTCGGGTCGAAGTTCGGTAGATTAGGGCTCTCGACTGGTGCATCGCGGCACCAGGGAGGTCTCACAGTATGGGTTGGTCTTAGGATGACAGCTTCGTGCCACCAAAGTGTCAAAATGGCGGAGGTTGCTTCGTGGCTCCAGCCGGAAATCCTCAAGATCGTTGCGTGAAAGGGGCAGTATTATAGGGGCGTATAAGTATAGTATAGTGGGCCCCAAAACCCTGCTTTGGGGTTCCGTATTACATTTTATTATATCATGGGCCTCAAAACCGTAATTTTAGGGGTTCCTTATGATATTTTTCGTATAATGGGCCCCAAAACCCTATTCTAATTAGTAAGGCCCCTATATCATTGGGGAAGGTTGGTGCGTGGCTTTTGTGTCCATCCTGAACTCCTGGGCCTGTGGCTTTGTGGTGACGCATCGACCTGCATTTGCTGCTTCGGCTCCAGCTGACTGTGGTCTGTCAGCAGGGAGCAGAAGACAAAGTCACGGTAGGCAGCAACGATGCTTCTGAACAAATCCCAGGATGCACAACCCAAGTGAACTCAAGCCTCACCAACTGATGAAGGAAATCGTAGCAGGACATTTCCGTGGAGGGGGAAGACCTGCTAACTTACGATGTATGTATAAAAACATGTGTGTGTGTACGTGTGTATGTGTATAGATTCAGATATACATACATACTTATGATTCATGCTTACTTATATCTAGTATATGCACAGCTAATTTCTCATAATATAGACATGCGTCTATATATGTGTAATTTTGTGTGTGTATCTATATGTATATATGTATACATGCAGCATTACCCACGTGCAGCGCAACAGAATTCAACGACGTCCATTTCCGGGCTACGTGAAAGGCCGGGAAAGCCCGTCGCTATATGATTCATCAGATGGTGCCGAGTGCCTCGCCCGCAGAAGCATAAAACTGTGCTAGGAGGATTTACCGACCCAGTCTCACCATTACATGGCGCGCCCCGAAACCACAAGGCCTAAACTTCCAGAGCCGCAACATCCTGCACCCGAAAACCGCAAGCCTGAAATCCGAAACTCGAAGCTTCTCCAAGAAACTGTCACACCATTCTGTATTCTACTACAATATGGCTTACTATTCTATACTGTACTATAGTCTACTATGGTATGCTATAGGATCCTTGCAACATTCTCCAACTGGTGCCAAGGTCACAGCTCGAACGCCGAGGCACGTCCCCTGTTTCGTGTTGCGGCATGTTGTTTTGCATGCTGGGCAGTGTTTTAGTGCTTCTGTTGTAGTCGCTGTTGTTTCTGAACGGATAAATGGGCCGTGAGGAGGAGTGATGATCAGGAGGAGGAGGAGGAGGAATAAGACAAGACGAGGCTGAGGAGCTCAGGCTCAATATAACTTAGGCTGAATATCAGTACACTTGAAGATTTTCGGGATAACATAGTAGGTCCCTAGTAGAGCTGAAGATTTGCAGTTTTTGGGCTTAGGAACCAGCATCGTAAGTCTTTGAGTTCTTGAAGCCAAATCCCTAAGGTCTTTGGCATTGAGGCCGGGATTCAACTATTTAGGGTTTAGGTTCTAGAGGGTTCCAAGTTTGAACATGAACTGCGGGCCAGCATGTCAATCTTCTTGACCCCGAGGCCCCCTCCAATATTAGCATCGGTATGAGGGTCATGTTTGAGGCGCTTCTCTAGACCCTACACCCTAGTCCTAAGCCAAAGCCCTGCAACCCACAACCTTCTATAGTTCTGCTAGCTTGAGGGAAGGACTGCCTGAGCAGGAGCGGCGGCAGCCCCTGCGGCGCACCATCGAGGCAAAAAGCGAAAGAGGGACAGCGAGGGAGCATTTAGAGTTCGGGCTTTAGGGCTTTAGGGTTTAGGGTTTAGAGTTTAGGGTTTAGGGTTTAGGGGTGGGAGGGAGGGGCGAGAGAAGGGGGAGATAAACAGATTAAGCGGTCTTGACAACACATGATAGGTAGACTCAATGTTTGACTGTGCCGTCATGTAAGCAAACGCTGTAGAGAAATGTGGAACAGAAGGCGAATCGTACATCAGAAGCTGCTTGTGTGTATGTTTATGTATGCATGCATGCATGGATGGATCGATGGATGTATGTATGTATCATTGTGTCACACATTGTGAACCATGAGTTAGGGCTGTTGCTTGCAGTGTCAACGACAAGCCGTCCTTTGAACAGCAACGTGTGGGATTTAGAGTTTCGGCTTTGCGTTCTTGGGCTTTCAGTGTAGAAGCGTTTCAGGGCTTCTCTCCTACGCTGGTTCAGTGTTTGAGGTTCAGTTCAGGCTTTGGTTCCCAGGTTTAGGGTTCAGGCCCTACTTAAAGGATCATGGGACTTAGTAACTAGGTTATAAATAGGGTAACTATACTTGTAACCCCAATTAAGGTACCTGTAACCTTCCTACGTCCCATGATCCTCCAAGTAGGGCTTTGGTTTCAGGTATGTGGGATTCTGGAACCCTAAACCCTAAACCCTACATTCTGGATCATAGAGCACGCCTTGATGTCCTAACCCGTCGCCTCAGAAGCGCCTCCTGCGCGCTGCGCTGCTCTTGGCCGCATACGCGGCTTCCGATGGAGCAGGCGTCTCGCTTTGGTGTATCTGCAGGCATATAACAGGCACATCTGTGTGTATGAATGTATGGGCGGAAGGATGGACGGATGGGTGGATGGTTGGTTGGTTGGTTGGTTGGTTGCATGCATGTGTTTATGTATGCATGCATTCTCATACGAGTCTGTAAGCTGCACAGGAACGCCTTGTGCACACACACTTCTCGATACACACACACACACACACACAGAGAATGGCAGAAACTGTGGTACTGAGAGTAGTAGCAGCAATCATCCTATCAGTTACAACAGTGTCAACGGCAGCTTTTGAACTGCAGCAGAGAAACAAACGGTAGCAACCATAAGCATAGTATTCGGTTAGCAAGCGGAAGAGTAAGAGAACAAGAACAGTAGCTGGAATGTTGATGGTTGTGTTTTGTGGAGCAAGAGTAGCGGTCACCGTGTGAGAGGTCTTATAGCATATACGTTCCCGCTTCTCAGAATTTATTTTCGGACTACTTGTCCAACTTTCATAGCACAATCCAGGCTCTCAATGACCATAAACCTTTACGGCTGTACAGCCCTTGGGTTATTCCGAGCCACAGCGAAGGTGGAAGCTGGGACAGAGGTTTGAGGGTATATCACCTTCGAAACCAAAGGGCCGCAGGCTGAGGACGTGTACGCCGCAAAACACCCTCAACACCCTCAAGAACTGACTCTAACTTGGTTTCTAAAGCCCCAAGCTCCTTTCCCTTACTTGAAGCAGTTCGATGTTTGCCAGGTTGTCGGAGCTTTACAGGCTCGTCCGGGGTCGTGGCCCCGCTGCAGATCTCCAGGCTTGTGTGCGGGTCTTTGATGGTCTTTTGCTTTGCAGCAGGGATTAGGGTGTAGGCCAGGCCTAATATAGGGTCTAGGGTCTAGGGAGTGTACGGGTCTTGGCTTTCGTACGGGCTTCTGAATGGTTCTGCAAGCTAAATTAGGGCAAAGTTGGGTTTGTTTTCGGCCGTGAGGGGCTTCCTTCTTGCTCAGGGTTTGTTCGCGAGAGGGTTGGGGCACACAAAGAGATGTGCAGTTTGCTGCTTAAGACTTGACTTGACACCTGAAACCTGAATGCCGGTCTACATGAGCCCTAAATCCCAAAAATCAACACCTCTATTAAGAATAACAACAATAAGAGTGATAATAGCAAGAAGACGAATTCGAATGACAATGATAACAGAGAAAAGAGGCAGCAGACTTGCAATACTGTTCATAGCCATAGCAAACATCATAGTTATGACAACTTCATCATCAGAACTATAATCAGGATTCCAATAGTAATGGTATCACGACCTAGTAGTCACATTAATAATAGTGATAGTAATATCACTGATAGTCGTGAAAACAGTAGCAAAAACAATGACAATCATATTAATTGCAATAATCGACAAAAGAACCGGAAGGTCCTGCAAGACTGAAGAAGCCTAGAGACAGCCTGCACCTCTCAACCATCCCCCAACCCAGCATGTACCAAGGTCTTCTGAGCCTCAGAAGGTTTAGGGTTCAGGATCTTCAGGGCTTCAGGATCTTCAGTGCTTGCCCGCATGTCTTACCCATTACAGTAGCCCTAGAAGGTACCCTAAACCCTGAAACGTAGACCCCAAAATGTGAAAGCTAAACGCTCAACCCTACACCCTAAACCGAACCCTAAATCCCTAATTTCTTGAACCAAAATTAAACTCAAAAGGTCGCATCTAGAAAGCCCTCAACCCTGAACCCTAAAGGTACCCTGTAAGAAACACCAAAGACACCCCAACCCCTAAACCCCCAAACCCCAAGGGTACGAGCACATGAACCCTTATAGGACCTCTTGTGGGAATCCTCAAACCCTGGGCATGAAAATAGCCCAAAAGCCTTACATAGTACGGTCTTTGGGCCCCAAAGCCTTAACATATGAGTCCTTAGATGCCTCGGGAAGGAATCCCTAAAGGGAGCCTACAGAAGCTCTAACCCCTAAGCCGAACCCCAAGAATTCTAAATCCTCAACCCTAAACCCTTATAAAGTAATCCTTATAGATCCCTTTTAAAGGTCCCTTAAAGGATTCCTTCAAGGAATCCCTAAGGGGCAGAAGTTCTAAGTTATAAGTGGGGTTAACAGTCCCCTAATGTGGGTGGTTAGCTGTTGAGATCTAAACCCTGTAAAGTATATCGGTGTTTCAAAAGACCTATGGTTGCCCCAGTTTTAACCCCACTTCGAACTACCCATGAACCTCCAAGTAGCCTGTCTAACCATTGGTGCTGGAGGAGCTAAGGAGCCAGGGATGATGATAATCCCTATTAAATAAGGAGCTAACGAGCCAAAGGAACCCCAAAACCACTGGTTAGCTGTTGAGACCCTAAACTCTTTAAAGGAACCCTAAACCCAAACCCCCTAAATCCTAAACCCCTATAAACCCTAAATGCTTCTAAAGGAACCTTCAAAGGAACCCTATTCTAATTGTTAAGGCCCTTAAGCTGAATAAAAAAAGCCCTAAAGCCCCGAGAGCCCTCAGAGAGGCCTCCCCTTTAAAGTAACCCTAAACCCTCTAAAAGACACCCTAAACCCTTACAGGAGCCTTTATAACCCTTTAAAGTAACCCTAAACCTAAAACCCTCTGAAAGAGGATACTAAACCCTTATGGTGGCCCTTATAGCAGCTGCCCTTCTAAAGGAACCTTCATCGGAACCCTATTCTAATTGTTAAGGCCCTTAGGCCCTTAAGCCCTAAACCGCAAACTCTCTAAGAGAGGCCTCCCCGGATCGCCTTGGCTGCAAACCCGGCTCTGCCGGCCATCGGCTCGGAAGCTCGGGGATTTCAGGGGGGGGTCTCTAGGGTTTTGTTTAAGGGTTTAGGGTCTGGGGACTAAGAGTTTAGGACTTTAGGGGTTTAGGGTCTCTCCGGGCTCCCTTTAAGGATTTAAGGGTCTGGGGTTTAGGAGTTTAGGAGTTTAGGGGTTTAAGGGTTTAGGGTCTGGGGTCTAGGGTCTAGGGTTTGGGGTTTAGGAGTTTAGGGTTTAATTTAAGGTTATTGGTTTCCAGGGGTTCTTTCCAGGATTTATATAGGATTGCCGAAAGGATTTAGGGGTTCCCTTAAGGATTTGGGGTTTAGGGTGAAGGAGATAGAGCTTTTCGGCTTTAGGATCTAGGGCTTTTGGGGTTTAGTGTAAGGATTCCTCTAAGGATTCCTACAGGGACTCAGATTAAGGGTTCCTTCAGGACTCCTATACTCACATAGCCGATGGGAGAACTTTATAGACCTTTCGGCTTAAGATATTTCATCTACCATACAAAGTTTGTGCTGTTTTGTGCCCGACTCTTGAAGAAGAGAGTCAAGGATTCCACAACGGCTCCTGAAAGGGTTCCTTTCAGGACCCTCCCATGAGGGTGTGTTTTCGGCAGGGGGGGGTGGGGGAGGGGGTTTCTGGGGCTTCTAGAGGCTCATGGATTATAAGTGGGGTTATAAGAGTTAGCAGAACCCTTGCCCATTTTGGGTAATAATACCACCAGTCAACCCATTAGACGATTATTCCTATACTCCCCCCTACATCTCACCAACTATATCACCACTACTACCCCATTACCAATACCAGTATAGGAATACTGATTACCTCATCCATATACTACAATCCCCCAAGTATCACCACTACTTCCCCATTACCAAGACCGGCATAGGAATAGCCAATTGCCCCATTTAATCGCTTCCCCCTAACATTAAACCCCCCCCTAATATAAAAACTGCCGGCCCCCGGAATTTCGCGGGTTCGGGCCCCGCATTCAATTTAAAGGGGGCAACATTAGGGGGGGTGGCAGATCTGTATGTGTTTTAATTGAAGGAAGACTACCGTAATACTAAAGACACCAGAGCTTTAGGGTTTAAGGGTTTAGGGCTCAGGGCTGAAGCTTTCGGGCTTGGGGCTTTAGGGCTTAAAGTTTAGGGCTCGGGGCTTTATACAGCCAAAGATTACAGCTGTACTAAAGACAGTAGAGCTTTAGGGTTTAAGGCTTAAGGGTTTAGGGCTCAGGGCTAAAGCTTTAGGGCTTGGGGCTTTCGGGCTTAAAGTTTAGGGCTAGGGCTCAGGGCTTTAGGGTCTAGGGCTCGAGGTTTAGGGCTTAGGGCTTTAGAAGGGCCTCAGGGCTCCAGGCTCAGGAGAGCCAGCAGCTGGGAGTCCGGGTACGTGGATGCACCGAACCGAAACCCCCCCTAATATAAAAACTAAACCTCCCAAATCCAATTTTAATATTAGGGAGGGGGGGGAGGGGGAGGCGTTTAATATTAGGGGGAAGGGATTATATTCCCTACATGGTATCATCATCCCAAAGTGGGCAAAGGTTCCGTCATAGATTTTGCTAGCAAAGGGTTCCTCATAGGTTTCTGTGGATCAGGGCTAAGGCGCGCATTATGAAGTATCGACGTCGGCCTGCGGGACTATCTCATCGAGCTGCTCAGGCGAGCCTGGCAAGTTTGTGTTCTTATAGATGTGCCACTGCTGTCTTGAAAGAAGTTCGGGCGAGAATCGTTCACCAGGGTCTTTAGTATGATTGCGGCGGCAGCTCATGATTGACGGCTTCTGTAGCATGTGACTCTCAAGTCGTAAGGTCGTAATATCCACGCCATGTCGCCTGATTCGGAGGTCGAGCATGTTCAGCTGGGCTCAGCCATTCTGACCCAACCGCTAATGACACCTGGGGACATTCAGCGTTACTTGACCTACATTGATAAACTCAACAAGCAGCAAGCCGAGATTTTTCGATTTGCACGAGAAAGTTTCCACTATGAGTACGCACACTACCGCAGCGTCAGCGATGAAGACCTGCAGAAGATTCGGCAGACAAAAACAGCCAACGGCGATATGGAGCTCGCAGACATGCTCGGCAAAGTGTCTTTGGTGGGCGAGGGTAGTTCTATGATTCTCGTGAGTCCGGAGGACTGCCCGCATCGTAACTTCACAAAATATTTCATTCTCTTCGCCCGATGTGCTGACGGCAAGTACAACTTGGTTTGGGCAAAAGCAACCCAAGTGAAAGAGATCCGCAAAGGCAAGACTGCTGCTGCAGTCGGCGGCTCGATCGCTGTGGGCACCTTTTCGGGAGCTTTTGTCGAATTGGTGCCTGCCCTGCACCACCCAATTGCAGTAGGTGTAGGGATAGCGGCTGCATGCTGTTTGGGGACCGCGGCCAAAGCCACCTATGATTACTACGGCGACATGCAGAACGTGCTTGTCGGCTACGTGTGCCAGGAGTTGGAGAAGATGAGTGTGATCAATCTTGACAATGGCGTGGTTACTATCTTCTGAGAGGATACCTCCCAAGATGTAAGCCCTCTACATCCCGTGCACCGGCATCTTGCGCGGGCATAGTCAGTCAGTACCATGATGGACATTGGAGACACAGACATATCAACCACAAATTTATGCGTGGCGACGCCAAGCAAAAATGAGCGCATCCTCGCGTGCACTTGCCTGTTTGAGGGAAGCTCTAAGAACAATTCTGCATGGCAGGTGGATGACCTCATTCTCTAGAAGACTGCGGCGACCGACCTCTACCCGTACCAGTGCCTTGGGTGGTTTGTGGGGCTGCAGGGCTCTCGTGTTTACCTAAACCTTTCCTCTCAAAAATCAGTCGTACTACTAAAGCCAAATGTTGTTTAAATCCATACAGATTGTCCACTGTCCAAACATACAAACAGGAATACAAACAACTCTGAACCAAAAATGAACAAGAAAACAGCAAAGCACGCACAACAAACAAGTTTGACAACTCAGGGGTGGGGATTTTTTTGGTTGTTTTTGTATTAAGCAAAAACTGTTTAACAAATAGCAGTTTTGTTATTGGTTTTCAGGGAATCTTCGGAGATTGTTGACATGATTTTGTGTGACCTCAACCATTGTTCTTTCGGCTTATACGGAAACCGGATGCTGTTGTGTTCTTGTCTTTTTGCTAGTGTCTCCATTCAGTATATGATTTACGACTTTCTTGTATGTTGGGAATGGGTTTAAATTTACATATTTTTCTTTTGGTGTTTCCTCGTTCTCTTGTACTTTCTCCATGTTCTGGTATTTTATACATATGTTTATCTTCAATAGCTTCAATAGTATTCTCAAACTTCTTCATGCTACAACCGTAAACGTGACTTTTAATTCTTTTAGTGTGACATATGTTTCGCATTCTTTGTAATTGAATTTGCAGTTGGTTTTAATAGCACTTTCAGGTATTGGCAAGTTATACAAACTCATATTTGGCTGTGAACTTACACTTGCGGCACATACTCACTTCTTCATTTATAACTGTTTTCATTGCGTTAACATTTCTGAATGCAGTAATGATTTCTTCCTGCTCTTCTTCGGTGAACATCTCGGTAAATTATTTACTTCGAACATCCCCACCTTGAGAAAGAACGCACATAAGATGCTCAAACAAAGGCACATTGATTCAAATACGCTGTCTTCGTATGTGATTGCAACTGGAGTTGGGCACTTACTCTGGGGTTGGGCACTCTAGGGAGTCTGTGGGGTTGGGCGCTCCGGGCGAGGAGAAATCTACAACCCCACACCGAAGGTGGGGAAAAACCCTGAACCCTAAATACCCTGAGGGAGTCTGTGGGGTTGGGCTCTCCAGGGGTGAGCGAGGAGTAGACCGGGCGAGGAGAAGAATTGAGTTTAAAATCTAACAACCCCACACCGAAGGTGGGGAATAAAACTAGATATTTTTTCTTTAAACACTTTTCTGAAGAATGTTTATTCTAAAGAATATTAAACTTTTAATAATTCAAATCTCAAATAAGGCCTGTCCATACCTTCCACATAATAATGACTTTGACTTAATTTATTTCTATTCTTTCTATTGTATACACATTTTTACTGAAATTTCCTACCCTTTCCTTCTCATTCGGTTTTCGCTTCCTGAATATCTTGACTTCGTCACCTTTGTCAACGCCCCTATATATCCTATTCCGTTTACCACTACTAGCAATATTCAACCTGACGCTTAATTCGTTACTCGGTTTTCGTGCCTCTTTCGGCGTGAATTTTGTAGCGGAATGCTTCATTTGGTTATTGTATGTCAGCAATATCTCGTAAATATGATCAGTCCATTGAATATTGCTTTTGCCCTCTTTCTCATCAGCCTCAACTCTTTTATATAACATGTCCTTAAAAGTTCTGATCGCCCTCTCGCTGAAATTTGCGTGTGCCCTTGTCCTCTGGTGCTCTATGTTCTGTTCCCTTAAATATGTCTGAATAGCTTCCTTAGATAGAGAACCTTCATTGTCTGTAAATAGGATTTTCGGGTTTCTTCCCATCTTATGCAAACACTCAATCATCCCACTAGCCAAGTCCTCTTCTTGTTTACCGTCTATTGCTACCACATGCATAAACTTGTCAAAGACATCTATCATGATCATGCCAACCTTGAACTTTTGATCTTCCAAATCATTTATAAAGAACAAGTCCATTTGATACTCGTATGCCGAATGTGGTGCTACAAAACTGTTCTGTCCTACAGGTTTTCTTTTTGCCTCCACGTTCTTCTTGAAAAACTCGTTGACATCGTCTATAGTTATACTTTTATCTTTCTCTCGTGCTTCCTTTAAGGTCCTCTGTCTGCTCCCATATCCCGCGCGATCGTAGTACACATCATTAATTATTTCTTGTTTACTCATATAACTACAATACAAAAATATTGATTTAATCTTATTTCTAAAATAAAATCAACATTCTTCTGTTTTCATGGGCATCACAACTTTAACATTTTTCATGTCATACTTGGGTCCTTTCTTGTTCTGAGTGCTGTTGAATTCTGCCAGTTGCTCTTCGGTTAAATCCTCTATTGTGGTATTGATATTGTTGTCTTTTAGATATTGCTTTAACTTCTTCTTTTGAATGCACTTCAAGGCAGAATCGCGTTTTTTTTGCATATATCCTTCCTCCTGTCTTCGCTTGTAGTAATACAGTCGGTTGTAAATTGCCAACTGTTCTCTTATCTCTTCCATGGTCATATCCTCTGGGGTTTTCATAGACATATTACTATACTATATATTATAATAGTTCTTTAGGTTGATTTTCTGAACAAAGTTTCACAAAAATGTTTAGTTTTCAAAACTTATCTTCAGAAAAACATACATTCTAAAAAAAAAATTATATAATTATATTGACATGAGTAAGACCATCCAGCGCGGTGTAAAAGCATTAGAGACAGTGTATGTTCTTTATAAAGGCAGACTTAACGGTGCAACCAAAACAAAAATCAGAAATATCATCGGTTTATATGATGACAGAAAAATAGCACAGTTCACAACAGCAGACAAACTAAGGAACTTCATCACTGCCAAGACAGACCAACAAAAACAAAAGGCAAGTGACCAATACAACAAGGTATACGAAAAACACAAGGAAAAGAAACCACTGGGAGAAAGAATGCAAACAGCAAAGCGTGACAACAAACTCACAGAAATCCGCAGACGACTAACACAGAAGACCGCAGTTCAGCGAATACAGAAGAGGGTGAGAGCGGAACAATCCAAGGAAACACATGCATATTCCGTAGACCTTATGTTCTTCAAATTTAAACTCCCCAAGGATACCATCAAAGCATCCTTCAAAGACAGCAAGGGTAGACCCCTAATCCCGATCTGGTATGAGACTAAGAGAGCAACTATACAAACAACAGACTATATAGAGGACTTATCCGGCAGACGTGTGTTTCAATACGAGACCAAAGACAGGTATGTTTTCAAGAAACTGACGAAGACAATAATGTCTGACCCAGATATGGAGGAAACCCTTCGCTTCGTCCATTCCTACATAGTGTGCATCAAAGTTAAGGATGTAGACAGAGTAGATGGTGACACTGATTTTATACTAGTGGACGAGAATTTAACAGACACTTCCCATGTGAGCATGTTCCACAGATACATACAAACACCATTAAACCCAAAATACGAAACACTAAAGGAAGCAATCAAAGTAAACCACTACCAAGAAAACCAGTGTTGGTTGAACACCATAACCGATTACTATAAAGACACACTTATGGGATAAAAACGCAGAGAAAAGAACTGGCTAACCAGACAGAGCATGTTGACCCTGATAGGTAAGTCAGAAGAGGATTTTAAAACATCCGGCGCACCAATAAAGGAAATGGTAAAGGTTTTTGAGCACTACAGGATACAAGTCAGAATATACAATGCTTTTGAGAGACTGATTTTTCAGTATGACCCACCCAAAAGAGATCATCATATCCCAACAGTATATGCCGTTGTGAAGAACAACCACATATACACAGTAACCGATAATTTGAATGTATTAAGGCAGATGTTACCAAGAAAATCTGGGCATGATATTTCAGTGAAGGCTGCACCAGATTATCACCTGAATGAGAAGGACGAACCCGTTCAATGTAAAATGATACAGTCACTTAACGACATAAAGAAATATAACGAACATGCTGAGTATACATTGAGCTATGATGGTCATGACCTTGCCGAACTCTTTTATGAAAGCAAAAAAGCAGGATACGAACCACAAGTTAAATTCAGTGCAGGTATAGTATCAGAACTTAATTTTAAGTTCAGGATAAAAAAGAATGTCATCAAATGCAAAGTTAAGACCCAGAACCTAGTAAACAACTCCATTGACGGAACTGTATCAGTGAGAACCGAGCAGATTTACAACAACATGTCTAAAGCAATGTATGTATTTAATAGGTCCTTGTTTAATCCACTACATAAGTCATATTATAATGAGATTGACATGGAACTGTTTAAGGAATGTAGAACGATAAACCCAGTTGGCGACATAAACAGACACTACTTCCAATACAACCCACATACAAACAAAGATGACAAGATGTTTTACATGCCAGAACACACGGTAGAAATTGATATTAGAAAGGCATTCACACACGCGTTCAACAAAATTAAAGAAATCCCTGTCTTCACTCAGTTTGATGTGTGGAAGCACTATGACTATATGAAGCACGATCACAGGAAACTACACGAACTCACATTATACGTAGTAAAAGCAAATAAACCGACCATGTTCTTCAACAAGACTTACAACCTAGCATATGGCAGGTTTCTAGCAGGGTATGCCAACCAGTGTGAGATCATCTACTACAAGCAACCCTCTAGAGTATACAAGGTGGATTACAGAAAGATTACATTTCCCAACATTTAAATCAGTATAAGAAACGCTTTAAGTTGTTGTTTGAGTTTTACCAGTCAGTTAGAAGAATTGTTAAAATAATGTTTTAAAGACTGATTTATTTATATAATGACAGCTACACCATTTCCCCCAGTCCCCGTGTGCCTTCCATAAGCATGTCAAAAGAACATGGTAATGGTTAATTAGTTTGAAACAATGTTTATCATAATTAATGAATTATGATAAATATTGTAAAATAGTATAATATGACAATATATGTTGATAAGATAACAATGGATTTTAATATTGAGTATTACCCTCCCCATTGTGATCGGCAATGTGTTAGATGTAAGAAGTTGAAGAATTTAGTGCATTTCAAAAGATATTATCATTGTAAAACGGGTAGGTATTTAATGCAGTGTAGAACCACTGTTACTTGTTGTGAATGTTTAGATGGTTGAAAAAATATAATGACAAACGAAAAGAAATGAGTTTCAATGGCAAACGAAAAATGGCTTAAACGGATAGTGTTTTTTATACGTAACATGGAAGGTTCAAAATCAAATGCTCAAGGTGTCACAGTAAAGAGACAGTTGAAGAATTCGGATACACTAAGAATAACAAACTATTTGCAAATTGTATTCAATGCAGAGAGAAGAGGAAGGAATATAGTCAGAAATACAAAAAGCAAGATGACAAACCGTCAGAAATTGATAATGTGTTTAATCATACGCGACAACTACTACTCAACGATGGGTTTCTTGAGGATTATTTTATGATATTTAGTAAAAATGATTGAAATTCCCATGAACACTGAGGTTAAGGATCTCAAGAGTAAGCAACCAGAACAAACCAGTGAAAACAACTCGTTTGCCAAACTGTATCGGGTAATGCATTCATAAGTATAATATAAACATACTTCATAAGAATGTACGAGATATGGTCACATTATGGTTACAACCGTTATAACCAAACCTAATGAAATCTATGAGAGAACCCTTGCCCACTTTGGGATGATAATACCACCTTAGGGAATATGGATGGGGTAATTGGTTATTCCTATACTGGTCTTGGTAATGGGGAAGTAGTGGTGATATTTGGGGGAATTAGAGTAGGGAGCATAGGAATAATCCTCTTATATGGATGAGGTGATCGGTTATTCCTATACTGGTATTGGCAATGGGGTAGTAGTGGTGATATAGTTGGTGAGGTGTAGGGGGGAGCATAGGAATAATCGTCTAATGGGTTGACTGGTGGTATTATTACCCAAAATGGGCAAGGGTTCTGCTAACTATAAGTAGGGTAGCCATAATTATAAACCATATTACCGGACTTATAACCCCATTATAACTACCCATGAACCTCCAGGTAGGGTTAAAGAAGGTTCACTATTTGCGGCCGCAAACCGTGTCAATAGACACCTTGTTATCAATCTTATGGTAGTCTTCGTAGAACCCGTATACTGTCCCTTGTAGAGATGCCCCGTATGCTGGCCCTTGTAGATGCCCCACACTAGGGCTTGCAGATGACGTCAGGCCTCCATCGCTATCTCAAAGAAGATGACTGCGATGGACGAGGCGGTGAAGGCTGGGTTGCACCAAAGCGAAATTTCTGATGGCTTAAGCCCTTCAAGGTTTAGGTTGTTGATTTAGGGTTTAAGGTTTGGGGTTTAGGATTTCAGGTTTAAGGTTTAGGATTCAGAACTCCCAAACGGTAGGCAAAACCCGGCCTCGTATACCCCGAACGGATCAAGACCCGTCGACACGAAACAGTTGGCGGCTGGCAGCAGCTTGAGAACGCTCAATGCAACAGCATCATCTGAGGACTTCTGAAAAATCGGAGAGCCTTGTGTAATTAGGGCCAAGTTTAGGGGTAGGAAGGATCCTACAATTTGGGCGTCTATGATCTGAATCCCTGTTTGTTGAACCTCTTATGCGGGGCCAGAAGTATGACACCTTGTTCCGCATGCTTCATGCTGTACAGGCCGCCGCCAAGCCAGAAGAAGAGCTGTACTGGAGGCAGTGGAGCTGCGACATACGGGCCAGCAATAATTGGCAGAAGTTTCCACTACAGCTCTTGATACATGTGAGACAATGCTCTGTTGCGGCGCGGATATTGCTTAAACGATTTTCTGCTCCCACCCTTAACCTGTCGCAGGGTGCTGGCCTACTGCACAGCTTGTCGAACGCCCTGGTGCAAATTACCATGGCGTAAGCACACCTGCCTCTTGTCAGACAAGGCATTCGGGTCTTGGGTTAAAGGTGTAGGGCTTCTGGCTTTTAGGCTGTCGACTCTTTAGTGTAGGCAGGAGCAGACCTAGTTTGATCAGGAGCATGCTAGAAGTGCTAGAACAGTGCAAGCTCACCATGTATTGCACAGGGTTGACTCTCGGGGCCTGCACAACGCAGCAATCCTATTCCTAGGGCCCTTAGGGTGCTTATGATTTTACTGTATGGTGAGTTGGAACATGGATTAAGGATGAGCGGTGCTGGGATTCGCAATGCTCTTTTTCAGCTTTCTCGCACGAGAATAGACCCGAGCGACGCTGCTCTGATGATCAAGGCCATCTTTTCAAGCTCCCTTGGGTCCCTTGACCCAAATCCCTAAGCCACAAGCCCTTTCCAGAAAGGCCTTTAAGGACTTCCTACAGAGAGCCCGCACCCCAGCCCTGGGCCTATAACGACCTATCAAGTCGTAACACACTCTGAGGCCTGAAGGGAGATTCCAAGGCAGAAGGCGCGAAGGGAATGGACTGCGCCGGTGCCTCAGTTTTCGGCATTTGGGACCCCACAATTTTAAGGAATTGGGGGTTTGAAGCCGCCCTATACATAGCCGCAGTGTACGTAACTTTCAACCTTTCGAGATGATCCCTGACACGAAACCAAAGATTAACTTGTCGTTCCCGTAGCCGTAGGTTGTTAGACAAGTAGGTATATGTACGTTAAACCCTAAACCTCTTAACCGTATGTAGTTGGCAGAGAATGCTTAGGAGTTTCGGCTGTTCGAAGTTCGGGGCTGGGATAGCCCCAAACCCACAGCAACCGGCAACCTCTGAAACAATGCTAGGGTTGAGGGTTCAGAAGCCTCGAGTTTGGGTTAAGAAAGTATGGGCTACAGGTTTAAGAAACCGTAGGGTTTTGGCTGAAAGGTCTATGCCCCCAAGTTCAGCGGGTTCTACCGGGTAGGCCAGGGGAGATGATAAATCCTTGGCAGGTCGGAGAGGGTCTGATCTGCGAAGGGGCCAACCCCAGGAGGCCCTGGACCCATACTTAAAGGATCATGGGACTTAGTAACTAGGGTTGTAATTAGGGTAACTATACTTATAACCCCAAGTAAAGTACTTATAACCTTACCTACTAAGTCCCATGATCCTCCAAGTGGATGCTAAACCCTATAAGCCCCAATTTCTCAGCCCTGAACCGCAACCGACGTCGGAATCTGTGGCGCAACGTTCTGGGGGGGTTTTTGGAGAGGGGCACCACGAAGCACCGCCACAAAGTCTTCAAGCGCTCTATTTTCCGACTAGGACGTGCTGTCGCTTTGCCTACTTGGAGGTTCATGGGTAGTTATAAGTGGGGTTACAAGTAGGGTTACCATGGTTATAGCTCTTATGAGGGGCCTCATAACCCACCTATAACTACCAAGGAAGCTCCAAGTAGATAGCCTGGGCTGAAGCTAAGACTGTAGCGGAGGAGCCCTGAAGCCTCAACCCCCCAGAGACTCCAATATCTCTTAATTTAGGAATATACCTTAATTTATAGTAGGATCCCTAGAATCATTTAAGGTATATTCCTTGATTACCGGATATTGGAGTCTCCGGGCCCTCAAGTTCTAAAGTCCGCTGAGGACATGTCTTGGGAAGCCTACACAGACTTGCTCACGCGACTTGGATGCCATTACTTGGAGGATCATGGGACTTGGTAAGTGAGGTTATAAGTACCTTAATTGGGGTTATAAATATAGTTACCCTAGTTATAACCTTAGCATAGTTACTAAGTCCCATGATCCTTTAAGTAGAGAACGGAACATCGTTCGAGGCGGAGTTTGGAATCCTGGGGGCTATAAGGTTCGGACAGGGGAGCCCTGAAGAAGGCGTTTAAACTCCTAAACCTTAAACTCCTACAAACCCTAAACTCTACACTCCTATAAACCTTAAACTCTAAAAACCTATAAACCCTAAACTCGACCCTGGAGTCGTCGAAGCCTTCCTGGCCCTCCCCGAACCTGGGACCATGGAAACAAAGCCGAAGTACCAGGAAGTCCGTGCCGCTGATCACGAGGAAGCAGGCCCGAAACTACTCTTGGTCTGAAGTACCATACTTGAATGTGTTTTTGGGACCTGTTCCTTAAAGGAACCATTCTGAAATTTATGTTGAGTCTATACCTTTCTCTCCCTGGTTACTTCAAAGTCCAATACTGCGATATTTAAGTTTTTGCCTGGGGCTTTCCGCGTTGCAGGGTTAGCTTTCGGATTCCAGGCCTATTTCGGTCAGAGGGCTTCAGAATCTGGGGGCTCGGGTTCAGGTGTTGAGGCCGTGCGAACTTGTTGATGCATTACGAAGTTTTGGGATGCAGTTGTTATTCGAGCTTCGGGCTTTAGGAGAGGTGTTCCAACACCCAGACAGGTCAGAAGATTGCTGTGCATTATATAAGCTTTTACATGCATTCGAATCCTGCATCCCTCTGAAGTGCTTATAGTCCTTATAGTCCAGGCAAATCCGGACCAAAACCTACCGGCCCTTACTGCACTTAAGCCTCAACTACAACGACTAGCCAGCCTCTAGCAACCCTATTGATACCGAGGCTTCTACGACACATAAATGTGCGCCGAAGGCCTCTTAAGCAAATTATCAAGCGTAGCAGAATCCTCGTTTTACCGAAAGTTCCTAAACCGAAAGCTTCTGTGAAGTGTACTCTTGGGGGAGGTCGCCTAAACCCTTAAATCCTAAACCCTAAACCCCTAAACCCCTATGTAAACCTCTGAACCCCTAAACCCCTAAACCCTAAACCCCCAAACCCTAAACCCTAGAGGTCCCGGGTGGAGGCCCTCTTTGGCCCCCGCCAGGCGCAGGTTCTCACGCGTGAGTGTTGGAGAAATGGTGACGCGGATCCCACCGGCATTGGCATGGTGAGTGAAGCCCGGTTGCAGTGGGGAATTTAATGGGTTTAGGGTTCGGTTTAGGGTTGAGGGCTTAAAGGGTTTAGGGTTCGGAGGTCGACCTCAAACTACCAAAACCTTCCTTTCAATTTCTGTAGGGTCCCTATGAATCCAAAAAGAACCGACACAAATAATGGTTACGGCAGTTTAAGGGGTGTAGGGCTTAGGGCGACTAGGCTTAGCCGCAAGGACTTGACGGAGGCTGTGGAAAAGGCGTCCGAGACTGGTTTGTCCCCATGATCCTTAAAGTAGCTTTGGACATGGAACCGAATGACAGAGCTAGTTGCATTCCTTGATCTGGCGAAAGCATGCGACGGCGGCAGATGTCGGGATGCGGGCCGTGGAACTGCGATATCCTTCGGTGCGCAGCAGTTTAGCCCTTAGGTCAACCCTCGAGTTTGGGTTTGAGGCTGTGGTGGATCAGCGCAAGTGGAGGCATGAACTTCCCCGAAACCGGCAAAAACGTACGACATGCGCTAGCATAAACTTCCAGGATTTGCTCCAGAATATGCCGCTTGAGGCCAGAAAGCCCCAAACCCAAACTCCAGCGCACTAGCTGCCCAGACCCGAAACCTCAAGCCTGTCTACGTCAACGGAACAACCGAAACCGTTCAGCCTGCAAGACCATGAACCCTAAACCCGAAACAACAAAATCCTAAACCGCTAAACATAGACCTGGACTTTGCAGCACCCAGGGAGAAAGAAGCATAGACTTCTATGTGATAGTGGTTCCCTTTAAGTAAGAGGTCCCCAAAATAGTATTAGAGTATGGTACTCCAAAGCCCGGAAACCCTATACCCTAAACCCCTAAACTCTGAGCTCAGAAGGACCCTCAGGTGGGTTTGGGGGAGGGAGGTAGGGGGCTTTATATACCTATAACAAGGCCAGTTTAAGGAAGTATAGTCCTCTCCCCCTCCCCCCTACCCCCCCTAAGGGTCCCTCTGATAAACCCCAACCCTGGCAGCCCAACCCCTCGATCAGATCGTGAGGACCCCACTTGAGGGATAAGGGGATTAAGTAAGTAGGGGTATAAGCTACTTAAAAGTCATGGGACTTTGTAACTAGGGCTATAATTAGGGTATCTGTACTTAGAACTCCAATTACTTATATCAGTTACGTACCAAGTCCCATGAACCTCCAAGTAAAAGTACTTCTTGAAATTGGGCTATACATATGCACAGCTGTAGCTACCCGACTTCAAACAGCTACTAAGTCCGCTGATCCTGTAAGCGGAGACCTAAAGCCCAGGTCTGCGTCGTGCCGAAGACCGCCGCGCAAGAGTATGGCGCCGAGCTTTGCCGTAATGGCCCCCTGGCCTCGATAAAGCTTGGGTTTTTTCTAGGGGTTGCCAGGGGTTCTTCAAGGGATCCTTTAAAGGCTACTATAAGGGTTCCTTTAAAGGGCCCTATATAAGGGTTTAGGTGTTTAGGGTTTAGGATTAGGGTTTAGAGGTTTAGGTTTAGGGGTTTGGGGTTTAGGTGAGTTTAAGGGAGTTTAGGGCAGGGTTGATGTTTGCCACGTTCCTGAGTGTATAGAGGCTCCGTCGGAGAAGTGGTGAGTGTCTGCTTTGAGCTTTCTTCATTAGTATGGGAAATTCAGTATTTGGGGTAATACGTCGTTTTCTGTGTTGGTACTTGTAACCCTAGTTACGAATGTAGCACCCTGACCCCAAACCCTGAACACTAAGCCCAAAACCAATGAGACTGTCCGGGAGTGCACATCCCTAAAGGGGAGGGCATTGGACGAGAGGGGCCGCCGACAACGAAGTAAAGCTCCCTTCGCCCCTAGACTCATCTCGACCATATGTTTTGGGAAATCCTGCAAGTCTCCAGAGATCTCCAGAGTATTTGATAGGGCGCCGCAACAACTAAACATTCTGGGAAACAAGATGCAACAGTCAGGAATCCAGGCCAGCGTGGTCCCGGACAGTATCTACAAGGCCCTGCCGTTTTCTTAGACGGCCTCAGCAGTGCTGCCCACTAGCTTTATGCTCCAGACTCCTCGTGGTTGGGGAAATCGAAGTTCCCCTTGAGTATCGATGTAAGAGATCTTCTGCGGGCGGTGGGCGGCAGTGTTGATAGAGGCTGCATGATACGAAGGAAGCGGCCTGTCTTGTGCACTTAGCCTGGACAGCACGTTTCCTAGCGTCTTATAGTGAACCCCAGAAGAAAGTTGGAACAGGAGTTTAGGGAAATAGAATTGAGATTCCGTACACGTTGCCCTTGGGGGTATGAGGATGATGATGTTCCAACTTTCTGATCTATATTGTAGAGCCTTGTAGAGTCAAGAGAAAGAAGAAGTAGTCAAACTTAAATGCCCACATCCGTCAGGTAAGATATCTGAGTAGAATTCGGGAACCGATTAAGTTGAGTAAACCCCATGACTATCTAGCAATCTAGTAGCTGCAGCACAACCCTAAACTCATAAGGACCCTTAGGGGGGTGGGGCAGAGGGGGGTAGGGAACTATACTTAAATAGGCCTTACTAAATCCTTATTATAGGCATTCAGGTCCCCCATCCCCTTAACAGTCCTTGGGACCTCCAGAGAGCACACAGCGCTAACCAATATAGGGGTCGAAAAAGGGGAATAGGGTTTTGGTGGTACAAAATACCATATAAAGCAACTATTCAGGCTTCTGAATCATGGGGCCAGCTTTTGGGTTTAGGGTTTCATGTGATACATTCAGACCGGTTTAGGGTTTAGGGCATTCATAAAATTAAAGTCCTACCAGAATCTACAGGTTAAAGGTTATTTCTTTTGGTCCAGGAGTCCAAGAGCCCTAAACCCTAAACGGCAATGCATCTCATCTGCATACTTGGAGGATCACGGGACTTAGTAAGTAAGGTTATAAGTACCTTAATTGGGGTTGTAAGTATAGTTACCCTACTTATAACCTTAGTTACTAAGTCCCATGATCCTTTACGTACTTGAAGCCTGCAGCCTTGCCAAATGCCAGATCCTGAACCGTGCAGCTAAGAGACCTCGGTAGCTGAGTGGATACACTTTACACTTTTGGGAGAATATTTCCCATTATGAAACGGGAAGTATACACTTTTTGGGGGCTTATGAATTCAGCAGCTAAGAGGCCTTTACTCCTGAGGCCCTTGTACAAATCATGAGATCAAAGCCCCTAAGGCAGTTCAGGCTACATCCTAAACTCCGTTGCATGCCCTACCAAGAAGACCCCTGCCGCTGGTCTCAACGTACCGAAGCGCATGAATACATACATGCTTCCTCCACGCCTGTAACAGCCACAACTTGAATGAGCAACCCTAAACCCTAAACCCTAAATCCCAAACCTAACGTGCTGAGCCTACACCCTAAACCCCAAACTCCGAGCGCGACGCGTCGTCGCGATTAGTTAGCAGACCCCCCGATGCTTCGAGAGTTCGGACCATTTGGGCCTGGAGTCGGCGGAGAAAACGGATGTTTTGGGGTTCGGGGCTGCAGCGGTTCAGGGAGTGGGGAGGGTTGAGGGTTTAATGTAGGAGCCTGATGAAGGAACCTTGGGCTTTATTAGGGTTCCTTATACGGGTGGTTGTCAAAATAATGGTCCCTTGTTGGGTCCCTATTACAGTACGGCACTTAATATGTAGGGTTCCCAAAAAGGGAGCATGATTTTGACAACCACCCATATGAATCCTTTCATTTTTGGGTTTCTAGGGCCGGGGTTTCTTAATCAGGTTCCTACATTAGGGTGTTGGGGCCAAGAGCTCTCGGGCTCTGGAGTCAATCTAATACTACTAGGATGCCCAGTAGTACCCTTATTCCCTTTGTGTAGTCCTAGGTTCCTTATAAAGTTACCCAATACCAAAAAGATGCCTTTTAATTCTTAGGTTACTGGGTATGTTAGAGTAAGGTTAAGTCCTCGCCGCTCCGGGAACGTATGGAAGCCATACCTGGGATTATTACTTGTACTAGTATTTACGAGTTGTCCCCAGAAATCCCGAACCCTGAACCTGAACGCCCCATGTAAGTTGCAGCAACTACGCTAAAAAGAAGCTGGAAGAAAAACAGGTGCTGTGAGCTTGAATGCTTTGTAGACTACTATATAAACCTCACGACATCTAGGTGCTTAGTTTTTGACATGTGGGACGCTGCACAAATACCGGTTACTGCCAGAGTCCGCAGGGTCTTTGTAATGACAAGCCGTTCTCCCAATGATAACTAGCATGCCTCAAGTGGTATCCTACGGTAGAGCAGCTACCGTAGCACACACGGCACATTTTTTACAGAGCAAACCTTAAATCCGTGTGCATCTCCTCCCTTGGGATGAGAAACCATGACGCTGTGTGCCGCACAGCTCCAAGGGTAATTAGCACTGATCCTGAACTCTAATCACTCTAATCCCTTAACCATTCATGAGGGTTTCACGCCGAGGCCCAACGCAATCTGTAGCACAAAAATGCTGAACGCTAACCCGTGCGAGCCTAAATACTTACCAGTATTTGTTCTGAGGGTCGCTGTTCGAACTATTGTGTATAATATGACCCAAGACGGGCCCAAGCAAGAAAACCCTAGCACAGAACCCTGGACCGGGAGGGAGGGGATCCCTAATCTTAAGAAGCAGTGCTTATCGAGCCCTTATAGTACTTAAAGGATCATGGGACTTAGTAACTAGGGTTATAATTAGGGTAACTTACCAAGTCCCATGATCCTCCAAGTAGTAGTGCTTATCGAGCCCTTATATCATAGGAGGCCAAAAGGGGTTTTAGCCTATGGGGGTTTAGTAGGGATTAGGGTTCCATGATAGGGTTCATATTAAGGAATCCCTACCCCAAGAATCTTAAACCCCCCTTTTGGCCTCCCATCATTATAGTAGCCGTTGTTGAACCCTTGTAGTAACCCTCCCAGAGCCCATATCGTAACATTTGTGGAGCCATTACTATACAACCCTTCGTAGTAGCTCTTACAGAGCCCTGACATTAGCCTTGAGAGCCCTAACCCTCAACCCTCAAACTCCTAAACCCTCCTTATGTACCTATCTGCATTTATTTGTTTGTTTACGTACATGTACATGTCTAAATAAATAAATATATATATATATATATATATATATAGATAGGTACACATAGATATATATATATATATATACACACACACCCACATATCTAACTAAACATACGTACGTACATACATACATATACATAGTTACGTACATGCATGCGTATACATGTATATATATATATATATATATATATATATATATACACGGTTGACCGAGGTGTTGGACCGTAGACTCGCAAGTCATAAGTATTACGGCATATTGCTGTATATGATGTTATGGCAGATCGTGGCTCAACCAGATCATGAAGCGAATCTTGCAATCGCAGGGACAGCATCCATTCGATGCGGTGGTGTGTTCAGCACAGCATCGGCTTGACGTAACAAGTACTTGCACGGTTGTCGGATTTAGTCTGGCCTGCAGCAAATCGAGTCCAACATGTTGGCTTGGCATCCGCTTTGGCAGAGGCAGATCTTCCTACTGGACCCGCGCACCCGGCAGACATGGGATCAATTTCGCGATCAGCGAAAAGGGAGTTCTGGGCAGATGGCTGGGGGCCCTCCGCGAGCTGGATCGTCCACACTCTGCAGCTTTGCAGCCTCCGGGGTAGTTCCTGGGTATGCTTGAGAGGTGTTGATGCCTTGTGTAAGTTTCTACACGTATGCCATTGAACCCCATCGACACTTGAAAGTGTTGGCAGAAGCCTCTCTTCTTTTTGTGGCCGAGGTCCTGGCATCCGTATTTCGCAATGCAAGTCGTGGCAAATGCTGCAGGTGCAAATCGGAGGCATCACCGAGCCCTGCCACGAGAGCCACCAAGCTTCTTGTGGATGGAGATACCCATAGCATTGAGGAGATCGAGGATGCCATCCAGCAGCTCGAGAAGACTGGTAGAAGGGTACACACAACCGTTTTTGCACCACCTGGTCGCGACGAAAATGGCAGCTGGAGGCAGCTCTTCGAACGTCACAGGGTCACTTTTCGCCCCGTTGACCGAAACTCCAGCAGAGTTGGTGAAGCCAACGATGGTGCGATAAACAGTGCTTTGAGTACTTGCAGCGATTCCCAATGTTTGGCTCTGCTCACGTCCGACTTCGATTTCATAGAGGCCATTCAGCAAGCAATGGACCGTGGCCGGCAGACACTAGTTGTTGTACCATCGAAAAAGCCTTCACTTATCGAGCGCTACCACGGTGCAGGGGTGCAGGTTCAAGAACTGCAGCCCCGGGTGTCCATCTTCCCGAAAGTGCGTGCAATTTTACGTTCAGATGGCAGTGGGCATGTGCAACTGGGTGAACCCTGCCGCCCTTGGCGGGATACTGAACGTGCCGATGCTTGCAAAAGTTTCTTGGACGACCTGGGCTACATGGCGGCCGGCAGCACAGACAATTTGGTTCACTCTATGGCTAAATTCTGGTTCACAAACGAGTTGGGTTCCATCACCGTGTTTCCTGTGCATATTGGCATCAAGCAGGTCTGGCAGCAAATGCAGAACCATGGTAATAGAAAGTGGCGAAGATACGCCAACAACCTGGCATTTTTCCTTCCCAAAACCACTGCAGGACGAAAGCTCAAGGGGAAGCAGCTCGGCAAGTTTGGCACAAACATAGCAAGGTCTTTCTTCAAGGGTGGTGGCCCATTCGTGCTCCAAGACTCCGGAAATCTTGTGTCTCAAGCTTTGAGAAGGCTCGGGTACATGGACGACGACATGAACACGGACTTGCAGGAGGCCATGCTTGTGTTCGTGAACGCAGCGGTACACAAGACGACCCTGCGGAAGAGGCTGGATCTGCTTCCCTCCAAAGCAGACACAGCCGCAGAGGTGGAGGATAAGCTCCACTATGCGTTTCTCTCGCACGCGTCAACTGGACATTGGCGTGTGGCCCCCAAAGATGGCGAAATGCGGCGGCACTTGTGCAAGCAGGGTTTCTTGGCTGACATGAAGGCAGCCCGCAGAGATGTTTTTCGTGCCATGGCGAAGTACGCCAGGCGACACCAGATCCCCGAGATGAAAACCTACAACGGATATTTGTTCCGTCTCCTCTACTATGTGGATTCCAACCCGGACAAGACGGGAGCCATCGAGATCATGCAGTGAGAGTGGCAGGACAAGAGGCCGCACCTGTTTTTCCAGAGTGCGTGGCTACATCGCAGCACCTGGGAATCTGAGTGCGAGTTTCTTCCCGGGTGGTGGAGGTTGAATAGGCCTTACATTGTTTTGGGGTTTCACCCATTTTATAGAGATTTATGTGGCTACATGGGGGTTAATTATGAGGTGGACCGAAGACAACCCTCATATCACCCTCACGGTGCAGAAGTCAGGCTGCAGTGCTCCAGAAAATAAGCGTTGCAGATGAATCGTGGCAGCACGTTGCGGCAGGTCCTCTTACGTTTCGTGATAGCATGTGGGGAGGACTGTGGGCCAGTCGGCCTGTATGACACACAGATCTGCTTTGTTTTGGCTGAGTGAAAGCCCGCACGGACATGGTTGAGCATGGCATTGACATACATGTTGTTTGCGAGATAGCTGCATGAAGTCGGGAAACTACGCAAGGGAGTTGATGCCATGAGTGCAGGATACCATCCTGGCACCAGGAACACAAGTGCAGAACCTCGATGTAAGGGTGCTTTACGTTGTCGCACAGCCGCGGCTGAGCCCCCAGGGTCTGGGCAGCCAGCATGCCGTTGAATGTGCTCCAGGCCTGGAAGCCACAGCGGTCTAGTCAGCGGGGGCAAGGGTTTATGTTCCTTGGCAGGCAAGTGCGGGTCTAGGGGCGGTGTAGGGCTGCATTAGGTGGCCCACTTTCTAAAGCAATATGTGAGAATTCTGAAGATCGGTCTGCACCGAAGCAGGGTTGCTGTGGGATTGGATGCGGATCAGGGTCTCTTGGTCGGTACACCGCAGAGACGGAGGAAGGCCCAGAGGGACGTCGAGGCACCCGCCTGCGCAACAAGCCGGAAACCGTGAATCCGATTCGCCCTCACCCTGAATCATTAAATCCAAGCCCGAACTCTCCAAAAATGTATATAAACCCTGACAAACCCTACAAAAAAACCCTATGAAACCCCAAACCCTCAAACCCAAGCCCTACACCGAAAGAAAACCTGTCAAGCCGAGACCCAATGGCTCGAAAACCCGACGCCCACAGCCCGAAAGCCTGAAACCCAAAGCGCAGGTCCGTTAAGACCTACACTCCCACATTAAGGCATGGGGGACTTCTAGGGGTTTGGGGTTCAGGGTTTGGGTTAAAGATGATGACAGTGACTAGAACAATGTAGGAACCTGATTAAGGAACCCTGACCCTCTAACCCCCAAAATAGCAGGTGTCATATGCGTGGTGGTCAAAATCAGGGTCTCTTTACTAGGCTTTGGTGTGGAAACTTTAATACTTTTTAATTCTATATAGTATTTCTGTAGTATATGGCTTACAGGGGACGTTTGCATAGCACTGGTGGATGTATAGCGAAACAGCCCCAGACCTTGAACCCCAAACCACGGAAACCATCCTGAACTTAGGGTCAACCCCCAAACCCCCCGGCCTTGAAACCTAAATCTTGAACCTTAAATCCCACCATACCTTAAGACCCTGAGTCCTAAACCTCTGAACCCTACGCCCCGAGCCAACCCTAAAACCCCAGACCACTGCCAAACCCTGAACACTTGCTAACTATCAGCTTTAAACCCTAAGCCCCCACACCCCTAATTGCCCGTACATGTGTCCTGATGACGACCTCTTCGACGATGCCATCGACGTGGCGCTGGCGCCGTTAAACTAAATAAATAGTTTGTAAGGTTTATTATGATAAGGCTTATAGGATTCATAGGGTTTTTCAGGGACTTCGGAATTCAGGTTTTGTTCACGGGGACCGATGGTCCCCAGGGAATGGGTCCGATGGACCCAAGGGTGGGGTCCGATGGACCCCGGGGTGGGGGACCGATGGTCCCCAAGTTCCTGGTTTGGGGTGGGGGACCGATGGTCCCCAAGTTCCTGGTTTGAGTGTTTTGGAGGGGGTGGCTTGGGTGGGTTATAGCAGGGATTATAGGGTTTCGCTTGTAAGCTAGGGGACAACCCTACGCCCCGTATAAACCATAAAAGCCCTACACCTGAAAACCCGCAAACCCTTAACCCTTGAGGGCCTAAACACCGAACGTCCTGAGCCCCTAAGTGTCCTAAGCCCTAATGCCTAGAAGCTCTATGCCCCTAAACCGCTCGAAACCCTAAGACCTTAAACACCCTGCACACTACGACCCTGAAACTCCTACTCCCTAATCCCTGGGCCCTCGAACCCCCCGAAGGTGCCAGAGGCCTGGTCTAGTGCCGTACGAGCAGAGCTGCAGTGGCTGATTTGAGGGGTTGATTCTGCCCCGCCAGGTGCCTGGTTCGGCCTCCTGCTGCTCCTGGCGCCATCCGTCAGGAGCCCAGCAGCCTGCACCCGGCCTTCTTGAGTCAGCGGTGTTGGCATGTTGAGCAGCGGTTGTGCACATGCTTCGGCACTGGCTCAATCTACATGCCATGTTCATGCCACGAACTTAGAGCACCAGCTGCAGCAGCGAGGGCAACAGCTCACAGCATAGGATTCCGGGCAACAGCTCAACACTCCAGGGCAGCAGCTCACTACATGCATGAGGGCAGCAGCTCACAACATCAGGGCAGTAGCTCACTACATGAGGGCACAAGCTCATAACATCAGGGCAGCAGCTCATGAGGGCACCAGATTTGGGTTTCATCTCGGGGCTTTTGCTCTGATCGTTGCCGCCGCCATGCCGGGCCAGACTCGCAAGAGTAAGGTCATTGGCCAGGCGAAGTTCGCCGCTCGCAAGACCCAGGACGGGCTCGGATTCGCATCATGCTGGCTTTTTCTACTTGCTTGGATCCTGACAGGAGCAGTTGTCTGAGCTTCAAGGGCAGATGTCGGCGATGATGGCACTCCAGCAGCAGCAGAGCAAAGCGCCTTGTGTGCATTAACTTTGGCTTTTTGCCTGCTTGGAAGCTTCGTCGTTGCTGTCTGGTGAAAGCTTGAGGCGCCGGCGCCATCGCCGCCAGCGACAGCGGCACCGGCACCGCCAGCAGCTTCTTGCCCGAAAGCAGTGAGTGCTTGCAGGCTTTGTTGATGCAGTGGAAGTTCTTGCTGCTTAGGTTCATACAGCGGCTACATCGTCGGTGCCATCATCCTCTTCCTGGGAAGCCGCCTTCCTGCACTTAGTTGCTTGGGGCTTCTCGTAACTTGGATTTCGCAGCTTGCCAACAAGCAGAGTGGCTAAGGGCAAAGGAGCTGCTGCTGCAAATGCTCTGCGACAGAAGCAGGAGCAGGATGAGAAGCGCCAGCTTCAGCGAGAGCCTTGCTTTGTTGGATGGCATAACCTTTCTTTGCTGTTACTTTTCATTTCTGCTTTGGGATGCTGTGATGGTATCAACTCACAAACCGAGGATGTGGCCCGTGTCAATCGCCTTGTGGATGAGTGCACCTCGACGGGCCAGCTCACGGAGATTTTGTTTGCCCTGACGGACATGCACATCGACGGCCTTAAGGAGGTGGTGCAGACACGTCGCTTCGGGGAGCAGTTGGTGATTTGGCTGGCGAAGTCGGTGAGAGCCAGAGCCCATCTGCTTGTCGTTCTCGGGCGTGTGAAAAGTGCGGAGGGCATCCACAATCACGGCAGAATTTGCGGAATGCTCAATGAGATTATGACGCATGACACCGTGATCGAGGCGAAGGTATTGGCACGCAATGTTTTGTCCCACTGGATGCCTGGAACCTTCATGCAGAATCCGCCTCTGGAAGCACCTCGGGCAAATAATTTATGTTTGGATGCACTTATTCGTTGTTTGGTTTTGGCTTGATCTTCCTGTTGTGCTGGACTTCAGGTGACAGCTGGCTATGGCTTTGACGACGTGGTTCCGGAGAAGGGCGGTGGCCGTGGCGGTGTCGATGCCGCGAAGGGCCCGGCGGCGAAGGGCGGTGGAGATGTGAAGGGCCCGGCGGCGAAGGGCGGTGTCGATGCCGCGAAGGGCCCGGCGGCGAAGGGCGGTGGAGATGTGAAGGGCCCGGCGGCGAAGGGCGGTGTGTGAAGGGCCCGGCGGCGAAGGGCGGTGGAGATGCCTTGAAGGGCCGTGGCCGGGCGATGCTGAAGGGCCGAACCGAAGCGGGGGAGATCGCTAAGCCGTACCCCGAGGTCCTGAGCGGCGGCGGCACCGGGATGAAAAAAGTTGAGCCGAGCCGAAGAGTTGCTTGATTGAGAGATTCTTTTTAAGTTCGAGTCGCCATTGGCATGTCTCGCCCAGGCCCTGGTAGATGCCGAACTTGCCATCGTGCCGGCCTCGTGCAAAGCTCTGTTGTTTTCTGGATTCAGATATGTTGGCTCTTCCTTTGATTCGGGTTGGTCTTGGATGCTGTCTCGCAATTGGCATTGAAAGTCTTTTGAGATGGTGGGGGTCCCGCTTCCGCTCAGGCTGCTCCATGTTCTTCTGCGACTTCGATGCTGCTTGTGCCTGAGTCTGCCTGAGCCCTTCAATTCAGGTTTGCTTCAGGGCGGGACCGACGGTCCTGAGGGTGGTCCGATGGACCACAGGTTTTGGGTGGGGGTCCGACGGACCCCGAGAATGGGGACCGATGGTCCCCAAGGCTTGCAGCATTGCGGTTTTGGTTTGGGGGTTGGTCCTTTGAGCGATCACGCCTTGCTTTTTTCGCAGGTGTGACGGTCCTCGCCGCATCCGGTTTCGATCAGGCGACCCGGGCTGGGTTGGTCGTTGGTTCATGTTGCCACGCTAAGCTTTGCACAGGTTCGAGCTCCTCAAGAGGGCCTCCCAGCTGCGATTGTGTGAATGTACTGGCCACTGAACACTGAATGCTGAACCCGAAATCTGAGGCACATCCCTTCCGCTTCATGCCGGCATTGGAGCTCCAAAACAAAACGGCTGGAGAGTGCACTTGAATGTTTGGCAGAAGTGTGTTCACCATTGCTTGCCACACTGTTGTGACCTCAAGCTCGGGGCCTTGCTCTTCTTGTCTATAGCAGCTGCAGATTTTAGCATCTCTTCATGGAGGGTTTCATCCAGGATCGGGGTTCAAAACAATTTGATTGTTCGCGGACACTACACTTGGACCAGACATGTCGGTGGCCCGACCAAGAAGCCCTGATGGCAGCTCGGATGCACAAAGCCAACACATGAAGACTTCCGATCATCGTTATACCCCGCAGGTGCCCATTGCCAGAGATGCATCGAGAAGCACGGCAGTGCCGTTACCCTGGACACATGTCTCGTATTCAGAACACACTGCATGTGCAATCAACCATGCCCTCAGGCCAAATCAGCGGTGAGAATGTGCAACAGATGCAAGTTCATCAAGAACGGTGCCTCTTGGTGCCGAGCTCTTACATGGACGAGGCAGTTCCTTCATCGTTCCCCGGTTGTTTCTGATGCTGCGAATGACTGCCAATGCAAACGTGCAGGCCTGACGGTGTGGTCATGCCGTGGCTTGCCGAGACAAGCTCGACCCAGCCTTGGGGTCTTATGTGCATCGTTTGCAACCGGGCGGCTTCCTCTCCTGACACTGCCAGCTCTGCTTACATCAGAGGGACGAAAGGCAGACAGCAAGATGTCCCTTGGCATCTGTTGGGCTTTCTTTCGGAGTTCCAACACGTAAGATCGTCTGGTAATCTGCAGTGCCGTGCTTGCCTTTCTTGAGGCAGCCTCCAGCTGCAAGTTCGGCGACCGGCTTCAGCTCGAAGACTTGAGGCGACACGCTCAGAGCGACTTGCATCGGCAATCCTTGGAATCACTTTGTGCCTCTCTGCCGACTGATCCTGTGCAGCAGAAGCTGGATAATGCAGTTCCCACTCCGGCACAAGTGCGACTCGGTGTGGAAGTCGTACTGTCGCCAGCCGCTGGCCAGATTGGCACTTATGCTTCCAAGTGTGAACTTGCAGGGCGGGGAGACCCGCTCAACTATCCACTCGCCCGAAGCGGAGCTAGCGAACATCCCCGAATAGTTGAAGCCGTTGCACAGACTCTTCTCGACATGGACCGCGAGCTCTTCAAAGGATGTGTGGCAGCTGGTTTTTCGCAGGCCCGGTTTGTCCTGTAATCAGCATGGCCTGGGCGACTGCTACGTTCTGTTGCCTTTTGCTGTTGTGCTTTGACAGGATAATTCTGGAGACTACGCTTCTATGCGAGTGAAACTTGTGGACAAATCCTTCAATGTCCACTGCCGGCATCTTCAAATCAGCTGTGTCCATGGCAAGAAGGCCTGGCTGTCATTTCGGTCCAAGTCTTGGCTTTTGATGTGTCGCCCTTGCCAGACAACCCTCGAAAAGTGCGACATCATCCAGGATGCTTTGCAGCGGGTGCTCCCAGATGAAGGGGAACGTGCACATTTTCAATCCATCGTCCAGGCGGGCCGTACTGAGTCTGAGGTTGATTTGACATTCGGTGTGTGGAGGTGTTCACAACAGACGGCGAATCTGCCGAGACACTGGCAGGACGGATGGTCGCTGCTCCTCGACCTATTGCTTTGCATAGCTAAGGTGATTATTCGCTCGTTTGCCTGTTGAGGTGAAAGGTGTGTTTCCAAATTTGCTATGCACCCATCGGTGCTTGATGCATTCAGCCCAACGGGGGCTGGAGGCGGCCGTGAAATCAGACACGGCCCTGTCGAAGCTCCTGGACCAGCTCGTTTTCCGCTACTCCGCAGTTAACAATGTCAAGGACCCAGGCTCCCTGACCCGAGCCTTGCACAATTGCTGTCGCCTCAAAGCGAAGTTCGACGAAAAGGCCCGTGCAAGCTTGCATGCTGTGGACGAGCTGGTTGGAAAGGCCTCTTCGGCTTCGTGGGCTCCCCAAAGGTTCGACAGCATACTATCGGCTGTCAAGAAAATAGTCATGAACCTGGATAGTATTCTGGAACTCCTCGTGGAGACGGCTTCCTTCCAGAACTGCCAGCAAGAATGGGCTAGGAAGCTCCTGGCTGCGCCTTGGCTGTCGTTCTGCTTGTGGCAATTCACGGTTTGCAACATGTGCAGAAGATTTTCTGGCCACGTCTGCAGGTGTTCACGGCTCCAAATATCAGGGCTTTGGCCCTGCTCACGGAGTGGTTGAGCATCTGTTCCAGGTACGTGCATATGTATGACAAGGATCCTGTCAAAGCTTCCTCGCCGACAACCTGCATAGCCAACATAGCCCGGACCTCGTCCTTGGCCGATCTTCTGAAGAAGGACGCCTGGGCCTTCTTCTGGCGAAAGTCCTGGCTCCAAGTTGCGATTGTGAGATAATGGGACAGGAGCTCAATGACATGTTCGAGCTGAAAACCCTGACCGGGCAAGCCCAGGTGCCACATGTCCTGAACCCAAAGTACACGGCTGGCTATGTTTCTGTAGCAGAGCGAGCGATGAGGTTCAGCTTCCAGCCTGCATGGTTCTTTATTGGGACTTTCATCAACACTGAACACAAGCATGGTGCCTGTGGCCTCTTCCTGCTTTCGATTTGCTTGCAAGGTTCTGAGCGAGCAATCATTGCACACGGCAATCTGTTGCTGCACTACGAAGGTGCACCCGCCTGCCCTGAAACCCTGCCTCACCTCAACTTTTTCATCCTGTCTTGTGGTGCCAGAGGCCACAGCGACAGCAACTTCGAGCAATCGCTGTGCAAAGAACTCGGCAGTATTCGAAACATTTCGAAGATCTTCCTCGAGAGCATCACATGTTGGCACACCACTGGTGTGGCGGGCAGCTTGTGCCCCTTCGATGTACTCCAGTGGCATAAGAAGCGGAAGGACGACTGCCTGTTTCTTGTTTGCAGAGCAATCCGCCATTGAGGTTATGTCGTGCTGAGTCGTGCTTCCCTTCCTTCCAAGGAAACATTGCTTCGACCCCTTGGCGGCCATGCTACAGGTGGACGGTGGCCAGCTAGAGGCTGAATTTCTGTTGGCTCGGCCGACTGCTTTGCATTTGGCGAGGTGGGAAAGCTGCTTGAATTGACACGTGGCATTGCGACTTTGGCCAAGCATGACCATTCAACACTGCTTGCCCAGGGCTGGCCACTTGGACTATTGGCCTCAGACGATGAACCATTGGGGCTTGAGGTTGCCGGTCCTTTGCAAAGTCGCTCCTGCCTTATCTTCGACATGTCCAACGGCTGTGTTGTCTTTCCTGGACACTGACGAACTACGTCTTGCCTGTCTCGCAATGCTCAGGTTCGCTGCCTGCTCTGCATCTTCGACTCGACTTCCGCCATCGAAAGCAGCTTCTCCACCTACCGGCTTTTCACCAAGGGCGCCAAGGCTTCAATCACGGAGGCCCATCGCAACCTGTATATGAAAGTGTTCTGCGATGCTCCGCCGCCGGATATGAGTTTCATCTGCGAATCAGCCGTCTGGTCTAGTCTAGTCTTGTGCCCTCCTTTCTTGGTGCGCCGGCTTGAGTCTTAAGCTTAAGGATCGCCAGGCCGACCACAGCCGGCAGATGCTACGAAGCCACACCGTTTTGCAACCGGGTGTTGCAAACATACCGTGTGCTGAATGGCGGGCAGGGGAAGAACACCAAGTCCACGAATCTGCCCCGCAGGCTGATGAAATCCAGACTTCGAGCAAAAGGCCTGCAAGCCTTCGATCGCCGCAAAAGCGGCGAGATCGTGGCTTTGACCGAGGAGCAGTCGAAGGCTCTGGACCCTTCGGTCGTGGAAAAGATCGTGGGCCTTGACGATGTGGTACAGAAGGCCGCCAAGGACCGTTGCTTTCGCTCCGGCCTTTTGCTTCGTGCAGTTTCATTCTCATTTTTGCCAGGATCGCACTTCGCAGAAGCAAATCGATTTGCTTTTGTGCTTGAAGAAGAAGGCCCGGGAAAGGCAGGAGGCCTTCATTCACGGGCCGCACCACGAAGGTGCTGCAAAGCTGAAGGAGCTGGAGAGGGATGTTCTTAAGAATGCCGAACAGCTGTGCAAGGTCGAGCAACGACAGATGGCCAAGGACACAAGGACCCTGGCACCCGTGCCAACCTGGGTTGTGATTGTTGGTGAGGCGACGGAAGACAAGCACGCCATCAAGAGACGGGTTTTGGAGGTTTGCAAGCCTGAGCAACAGGTGGTCATACACGGGGTTACTTCCTTCTTGACTCAGTTGCACAAGGCCAGTTTCTACGAGACACTGCCCAGCCAGATAGTGTACCTGTGCTCCAATTCTGAAACTCTGCTCTGGCTCACTGACCCAACGCTCGACATCGACGACGAATCCGACAAGCAGAAGAAGAGATCCCACCTCCTGTTGGCTACTCGCCTGTTGGGCGGTTATGTCTGTGGCCCGAGCTGGTTGGAACGCCTTGCCAACAGCCCCGCACAGGCCTTGCCAGCTGCTTGTCGGCAAAGCCAGTCCTGTGCTTCCCCTTGTTCCTGCCCGCAGCTTCGGTGTTTTGTCTGTCGCCGGCCAGGCTCCGATCCTGCAGCTCCGTTCGGCTGCGCTCACGCCGCATCAGGTTTACTTGGGCAAGCAGCTGCCAGGCCATGCTTCGGATTTCTGGTGGCAGCTTCACAAAGGGCTTCTTAACAGTCGCCTGGGAGACAGTGTTTCGATGGTCTTACGGGACAAGAAGAAGCACAAGCTGCTTCTCGCCTGCATTCTTTCAGTCAAGCCCAGGGCCCGAGACACATCAAAAAGGATGTACTTTTTTTCTGCAACCCAGACTTGTCGGATATGACCATCCGAGCCCGGACCCTCTGTAGCGACGCCGGGCCACTGGCCCACTGTCGGGCAACACCCTCCGGGCCCGGAGCATCCGTAGCGACGCTCGTGTACTAGTCATCAGTCAAGAAGCAGAATGACTGTCGGAAATGCAGCACCGGGCTCGGACCCTCTGTAGCGACGCCGGGCCTGTGGCCCACTGTCGGCCGGAGCCATCCGGGCTCGGAAGGCTTCTAGCGACAGGAATGCTAAGTTCGTAATCCTTTTGTTTTGCAATCATCGGAACCGAGGAAAAAGAGAACCCTCATCGTGGTTCCACAAGCTCTTTCGGGTATCAAGAGGAACTTGGAGAAGCACAAGATCCCCGGGAAACTGATTTCCGTGCAGGACTGCCTCTTGCAGTTCAGCCAGTACCTCGTCTCCATATCCTGGCTCTGTAGCAAGCGGCATTTCCGGCTACTCCCAAAGCTTGTTAAATCTGATTTGTCGGCCAAGGTGGATCTGACCTCTTCTCCTGCCGCGACCTTTCACCTTTCCTGTACAGCTGTAATAATGGGTCGCTGTTCCATTTTCTGTGCTCTGGGGTCAACTTCTGGGGACTGGGGGACTGCTGCCACTCGGGCTGCGGAGTTTCGACTGCCTTGGAAAACGCTGCTACCATGCTGCCCCACGTCTGGGTCGCTGTTTTAGTTTCCGGTCTGTTCTGGGGTAAACTTCTCGGGGCTGGGGGATTGCTGTCAGTCGGGCTGCAGAGTTGCGAAGCTGCCTTGGTGAATGCTACTCTTCATTTGAAATCCTAGGTCCTAGGAGCAGCATTGCCGGCTTAACTCGTTAAAATGCTGCCGCAGGTTTTAGAGGCATTCAATCGCCTGGGTGCCTGCTTTGTGAGTCTGCCATGGGAAAACCGGGGCGGAAATCCAAGGCCAAGGCGAAAGCCAACCCTGAGACTGAGGCAGCTGCCCCAGACAGCATACCCGCCTCAACTGAGGAGTACGCAAAGGCTTGGGACCTCGTGCAGGAAGCCATTTTGACGTTGAGGGCCGCCGGCACGTGGGTTGAGCACAAGACTGAACCGAATCCTCTGGCTGGGTTGTGCTCCCTGCCCAACGATTTCAAGGGGACGGACATTCCTTCTGCTGATCAGACTCCAGACTGCATTCTGCTCTTGTCGTCTTGCTGCTGTTGTCTCCCGCGGCCCAGTGCCAGTTCCTGAGGTGTGTTCGGTGCAACCTCGTCTTGGGGGATTTGGATTTCGTCAACCCGAATTTCTCGACCATGAGCCTTTCGCGGACCGACGTCGCGAGTGCCAGGGCCTACTGGTACAACCCGGCCGCACCGGTCGCAGAGTTGCCCACAGTGACGGCCCTTTGCAGCGACGACAGCCAGAAGCCAGCAGTCGCAATAGTAGATTTCAAAATTTCAATCATCAGCTCGCGAGCTGTTTGTGTTGTTCCCTGCTGAGGGGAGGCTTGGCCCCTGTTACGCGGCTTGCACAACTCTCGGCATTCGTGCTAGAATGGGCGGCAGCCACCGGGGAACGTGCCGAACAGTTTCGCCGCCGGGCTTGTGTAGCTTGGTTGCCATTCTTCCTCTGCTAAAGCAGGTCTGAAGTCGTGCTGGGATGTGCTTTGCTCAGGCTGTTCCGGCGATGCTTCTTCGTGGGTCCCCAGATTCGGCCGACAGCTTCTGGCATCTCCACGCACATGGCGAAAATATGGAAAAAGTCGCCCAAGAGGCCTGGTGCAAGGTCACCCTTGCTAGGAACGGTCTTGAAAGATGTTGTCCGGTTTTCTGCCAGGAAAGCAATGCCTATTGTTGCCGGCTGGCTGATCGCCTCTTCCAGCACCTCGGCTGTTTCAAATTCCATGGCTGCCATGACTCCGGCTGTCCTGTGACACTGAGGTTGCAGCTGCTGCTGAAGTCCATGGGGAAAAGGTCTACGGCCGAAGACATCTTCCAAGAGTTTCAGGTAGGTGGACTTAGGGTAGCTGGGCTTTCTTTCTCATTCCTGCTAGTTTCGCCTGAACGCAGGCAAAAGTTGCTGATGGAAAGCTCAAGTTCGCGAGCGAAGAGAGCAAGGCTGGTAATCGCCAAGTGTTCTCCAGAGGTCCATAAGCACACTGCTCAATGCCAGGTGCGGTCGTCGGATATGGTTTCTAAGCTCTTGCGGTTGCGAGAGAGGGCAACGGAAGCATCGACATGGGAATTGTTGCGGGAGATGCAACGAGGCCCTTCTGGTGTGACTTGGGCTGGCCGTTGGAGCTCCGCGGTTCGACTGTTAGGCCCAAGTCGCGACAAAGTCGACTTTGAGTGGTTGATCAAGCAGCTGGCAAGGGCCTTTGGTAACGAGTTCTTCGACAAGAAGTTCGACAGAAGTGTGGCGGAAATGACCAAAGAAAGTGTCGAGACGACGTGCAAGGCTCTCCTCGCCACGAGAAGGTTGATGGCACGGCTAGTGAAAGAATGCAGTGCTCCCGGCCAGAGCAGAAAGTGGCTGGACTCCCTGGCCGGCATGCTTTCGCCTGAGAGGATACACGTCTCCGCCGCGACGGACGTCTCCGACGACTTCCTCGCGACGGCGATGCTCGGAGCGACGGACAGCGAGGCCGGGGTGCTGACCTTGCTCAACGACCTGGCCAACTTGAAGTACCTGAAGGCAATCGGGGCTGTCGCAGCCTATGTGAACACTTCGTCATCCCAGTGGAGCGACCACAGAATCCAAAGCATCGTCTCCGAAACGGTCCAGGCGATGCTCGGCAGCATTTCCCGCAATCACTGTTAGCAGGGCCTCATCTTTCATTCACGTTCCTTGCTTCCCAGGTACGGGAAAGAGCACCTGCGACCGATCGTGCCGCCGGCTGTGACAGAGCCCCCGCCTGCTCCTGCTGAGGAGCCGGAGACTGCTGCTTGGAACGACGCAGATGTTGCTGCTGCTGGTCCTGGTTCTTCAACTTCGGCCCCTGCCACGGCGGTGCTTCGTGACCAAAGGCTGCGAGAGGCGGCAACACACGAAATGCAGAGGTACTCCAAGATGTTGGTTGTGAGCGACCTCGTCGACGCCAACGGTGTCCAGTCTGTGCTTTCTCCGAGCCCTGGCTGTTTGGTAAAAAATCTTGAAAGACAGCTGAACCTAAGACCTAAGGATGTTGAAGATGCTGCAGCCCCGCATGGCCAACGAGCAGGAGCACCGGGTTTGGGTGTTCGACAGTGCCATGTTGATGGAGACGGGTACTGCATGGAGCAAAACCCATAATATCTACAGCCGCACGCCGCCTTTTGCAAAGGGTGCTTTGTCGCCCTGCTGCAAATGAAGGACGTCGTGAGACTTGTGGGCCGTGAGCCTGTAAGCTTCGTAGGACACTAGCACCCGAGGCAGACGGCCCTGAAACTCTTCGGTCAAACGGCCACCGATGCCCGGGATGTTTTCCTGGCCTTTGACTCCGGCTCAGTGAAAGGCGGCTCGGAGATTCGCCGAAGCTTCGCAAAAATGCAGAAGCAGCATGACACGTGGACTCAGACAGCTTGGACCCTGCTTCCTGCCAGCCAGCGGGACCTGGAGGCGAGAGCCAGTTTCCGTGAGACCGAGTGCCTTGCTTGAAAACTGAATGACAGCGAACATCAGTTCCGCCTTAACCCTAAACTGCCCGAACTCCTCAGGCAATCCACTGGGCAATCCGGCAAAAGACGCAAGAAGGCCGCTAGTCTGTCGGCACTCGGCGGGTCCGAAGGGGCACATGTGATGGCCGCCGGCTTCACTTTGCAAGCTCGCGACCTTCGCTTTTTGTCTTCCATCGGGACCGCTAGTAACCTTGAAACTCCGTCTTTGTCGTGTTGAAATTGGAGCAGACACACAGACAGACACGTTGCAGGATCGATTCGTCCTACCCCTTCCTTCATGTGCCTTTGCTGGCCCCATGCGATGTGGAGCCGCTCGTCACTCGAGAGGACAAAGAGAAGGCCGCTGCCTCGTTAGGTTGGGTGTTCTTGCCTTCCTCCTCCCTGCCAGCTCCTCCTCAAAGAGACGGACGGCGAAGTCTCCCATGACCAGCCTCTGCCGCAACACTTTGTCGATGATGTGGGGGTGAAGGCTTCGCTGCGAATTGTGGTAGAAGGCTTCATCTGAGCTGGCTTCCTGACTCAGGAGCTCGTACCATTGCACTACTGGTCGAAGCACCCATCCTGCTACAAAGAATTGCTGCACCTGCTTCAAGCCTCATGCCTCGTGGCCTTCAGTCCTGACCCAACTCTGCTGTTGGCAGCCTTGGCATCTTGGTCGATTTTGGCTGCTGAGAGCTGTGTGCTTCAGGTTTGAGTGCTGCCCTCGCCTTTCCCTGCAAAGGAAATGCGAGTCTCCTGCATTGTTCTTTGCAGAAGCACCGCCCACATGAAGGTGCTTCAGGACTACTTGTTTTCTGCCCTTCGCCGCAAGATGCTGGATGCGAGCTGCACCCGCTTCTACCAGAACTTGGACATCGGCGACGGCATGGACCATGCAGCTGCCTTGCGACAGCAGGTTGAGGAGGGTCAGGGCGGCGACAACTGCACGCAGACGCCGCCGGAAACGCTTGCAATCCAGCCTGCAGACACGGACACTCAGATGCAGGGTGAAGAAGAGGAGCTATGCGAAGAAGATGAGCTGGAGGAGCTTGAGGGCGAAGGAGGCAATGTTGAAGACATGCTGAAGGAGATTGATTCGCCAGTTTGAGTAAGTCAGTGCTGTGCAGTTTTTGATTTTCCTATGGTCTCATGTGAGACAGAGCGGTGCGGCTGAAGGGGCCGGGCTTTGAACATGGTAAACTGCGGTTGGCAGTCCACCTGCACAGAAAGCCCGGGTGAACGAAGCTCAGCCATAGCTGTTTCTTCATGTAGCTGCTGCCGGTGCTTAAACAAAGTCGGCTTCCTTCCGTGCTGGCATTGTTAGTGTGCTCGGGTACACGGCTTGCATGGCCCTTCACAGTCTTCACACTTTCAACTTTGAAGAATCGTCGCCACGGCTGCCATTTCAGATTTTGTGCTGATCGAGGGCCTGTTCAGATTGTCAGCTTTTGTCTTTGCTGACATGTCCCACACGACCAGCGATGCCAATGCTGTGGCCAGCATCAAGACGGGCCTCACCAAACGTCGGAGCCTTGTCGCCCGTATGTTTCTTGTGGTCTGCATGCTTTCAGCTTAAGGCCAGAAGGTGGAGGACATCTCGGCCGATCAGCTGCAAAGCATTTTGTCGAACAGCAAGGTGCTCTGAGCCTCGGGTGTCTGCCGTGATTGCAGCATTAAAGTGTCAGGCCGATCTCGGCACACTGTGGACCCTCTGCGACAAGCTCTATTCGTGTGGTCCCCAGCGATTGCAGTTTGGAAGTCGGAAGGGCCCTGCAGATGTTGCATTTGAGGGCCACTCCCGCGAAGAAGAGAGGGAGCGCCCAGAGTCTGCCCCCTCCTTACATTTCGATTCAACAGCAAGATTTCGGGGTTGACACATTGACGGTTGACTCATTCCTCTGGCAGGTTCTGTGGTGTCAAAGAATGCAGGCCGCCTGCCCCGCCTCGCAGTCCCGCTTCTGCACCGGCACCGCAAGCAGCTCCAGAGCCGAAAGCAGCACCAGGGCCGAAAGCAGCTCCGAACAGAGGACGCAATGCGGCTGTGAAGGCACAAGAGGCCAAGGACAAGCCGAAGAAGATTATCCACTACGGCTTCAGCTCCTTCGACGCCCCGCGGATTTGCACGGCAATCAATCACTTGATAATCGCGGCAGGGCCCAAGGACATGAAGTACCACAGCTTCGAGATCGTTTGGGCGCCTCGAAGTGGAGCGGCCGGTATGATGTCCGGCAAGCCGGTTTCGCGGCCGTGGTATGCCTTGGCACCTGCACCGGCAGAAGGCGGACAAGGCCGGCAGGCAGTTCTTGAGCATCCCGGGTTCAAGGGTACACATGCACTGGCAGGACCCCTGCTCTGGAACTTCTTGGACGGAGTCGTGAAGCACCAGGACAGGATGATGAACACACATGATGTTTCCGGAAAAATTGTGCGGTTCGACGCTCGCTTGCCTTGGACGTGGGTGCCCGCATCCGCACCGGCCCTGTGCATCATTTGTCGCTTCGTGGCTCTCGGCTTCACGAGCCAAATCAACTCTGAGATGAAGAAGGTTGGATTTCCAGTCGGCCAGGGCACCGCATTGGCGACGCTGCCGGGGGCATTGGCGACCGGCTCGATGATGATGAAGCTCGGTGGCACTCTGGACAAAAGATAATGAGGCTCTCTGCCGCCGGTGCTTTTCTGGCCTTCCCTCAGCCCCTGCCTTCCAGGAAGTTGGCTGCCAACAAGTTCAAAGAGGATCACCCGGCCCCGCTGAAGGCAGGACGGGCTTGGACGAGAGCTTCTGTGCTCGTGCTGCTGCCTTTGCTCAGGACCTCGTGAGCAAGTACTGCGAGCACTGTGTCTGCGAAAGCTGTGCAGCGATTCGCAAGAGGCACCGGGATCGACGAGGAGATGCCTGAGAATCCTGGGGTGCCGTTTATACGCCACGATGGCCGATTTTGTCTGGTCAGATCTTGCTCCTTGGGGAAAAAGCATTGCTGGCCTGCTCTTTCGGCACGCCTGTCACCTAGCAGCTTGAAGCATGTGCAACAAACACGCTGGGAGTGTTATTGGATTGTGTGCCACTCCCTGAACCAGGCATTGCTTCCGACAGCGGGCCAAGGACAACCTCAATTCGAAATAGATTTCTGGGCCACGCTGGGCCTGCCACAAGCAGTAGGGCAATCTCAATTCGACATGACAGAAAGGCTCGGACAACGGGCCTAGGACAACCTCAATTGGAAATAGAGGCTCCGACAGTGGGCCCGCAAACCCTAAGACAACCTCAATTCCATATGACCCCAAAACCCTCCACCATGTTGAATTGTGGTTGTCTAGCCTCCCGTCGGATGGCGACCAGCTCGTTGGACAGGACTCGGCGAGGCCAGTTTGATTCCGCAAGTGTCATTGGAAAAAAATTTTCGATCCCCAAAGGGTACCGGACAACCTCAATTCGACATGGTAGGACAACCTCAATTCGATATGGTAGGACAACCTCAATTCGACATGAAACCGAAAAATCTGCATTGGTCTGGAAAGATACCTGCATTACTTACATTAGCAAGAGTGTACGGATGATATTTGCAGAAAGAATATTCTAAACATCGCATCACTCAATGGTTTCGCTACGAAGGGAAAGATCCGTTCATGTTGTGACGGGAGAGTTGACTTCCTCGGCGGCTACGTGATACAACTTACGCTTTAGAGGGCCTGGAGCTTGACGGGATGTTCTGAGCATAGTTCGTTCTGCAGAAAGTCGTGGCAACGAAATTCTTGGACGGATATTGATTTGTCTTTATAGGGGTCCGATGGACACCAGATGGACCTGAGGGGTCCGATGGACCCCAGAACCCAGTCAGGTTTGTTGGTGTGGGTTCAGTGGTGATGGTGTCTTGGGGTGGGAAGAAGCCAAGTGAACAGCACCATTCTGGATCTCGGATTTCGTTCACACACATGCAGGTGTTCACTGCTGAGCAAGGGTGCCGACAAGCTGCTGTGACTAGGTTGCATGCACTCCGTCATACTACAAAGTGTGAGAGTCTTGACAGTGAGGCTGGTTGTTGCTTCGGGGATCCGTTTACAGCGACTTTGGTCGAGAGAGATCGTTGCTTGTGTGTTCCATGCCGGGCATGCTGACACGATTGACTCTCAAGAGTCAGAGCTTTGCTCATCCAAGGCTCCATCACATTAATGCCGAGCTGTCCATACAAGTGTCCCAAGTGCAATGCTGCGAGTCGGCGGAAGCCGCCTGCTCTCTGCAATGGCTGTGCCTTGATTGTCGAACAGTGCTATTTGAAGCATTGTGGACGCTGCCTCCTTTCTCTTTTCCGGTCCAAGGTGATGTGAGAAACACTCGTGGTCACAACCTCAAGAGCGACAGGAGGCAGCAGACGGGCAAGACCTGGACACAGCGCAGCTCTTCGAAGAGAGTGGTGGCATCGTGGTGGGACGAAGAGATTGAGCTGCCTCGGCCGACGCCGAAGGGCGGTTTGCTGCCGCCGCCTGAGCAGCAGATGGAGCACTGGATCTGGATTAAGCATGCCGTGAACCCCGGCTCTGGCATTGGCTACTTGTTCCAGGGAAGCTGCTTTGCCGCATCTGAGCATTGTTGCCATTTCCTGCCTATCAAATTTCTTCGGCTGTGCCGTGGATTGGGTGCCCCAGGTCTGTGCGATGATGTCATCGATTTGAAGGGCAAGCCGAAGTGCTTCGATCTGTTGAGGAGCAGCCAGTTGCTCGGAGAAATAGATAGATCCTCTGTAGTTCTTGGAAATTCTGAGTTCTTCAATTGCAGTGGCAAGTATCCGGTTTCACAATTGCAGACAAAGCTCAGGCAGGCGGCCCCAGGCAGCGGCAGCGGCAGCGGCAGCGGCAGCGGCAGCGGCAGTGCCAGCAGCAGTGCCAGCAGCGGCCGAAGCGACGGAGCAAGCCGTGCAATGGCTGTGTGAAAACAAGATCCGAGCTGTGCAAGCATTCAGTTATGGCGGGCAGAAACCACAAAACGCTTGAAAAAGTATTGACTTTTTTCACCCGGGACACTTAAAAGCCTAGTTTAAGGGTCCTTAATAAGGTACGGCACCTTATATTTAGGGTCCCCAAAAAGGGACCCTAATTTTGACAACCACCCATATAAGGAACCCTCATGAAGGCCCAAGGTTTCGTAATCGTTCCTACATTATTATACTACCCTTATAGATCCCTTACAGTTTCCCTCATAGACCCCTTTATAGTAACCCTTACGGATCCCTTTAAAGGAGCCCTACATAGGTGGCGCTCCTGCATTATAAGGGACTGACAGGGACGATCATTGGGACCCATTTCCCCCATTCCCTACTTAGAAGCACCCAAAGGGTTCTTTGTGCCGATATAGTAGAATCTAGGGTTTCCATATCAGGAATTACTATTATGCCTGAGGGACATATCCCCCATGACAATACATAGGACCCTTTGGGGCAGGGCATAAGCCCCGATCGGAGCCAGGGGAGGGCGCCGCGCCATAGAAACTGCGGACGAGGCGCGAAGCTTGCGCCATCTTCTGTCTATGTAGCATAGTTTGTTTTTATTTGTATGTATGTATGTATATATATATATATATGTGTATACATATCTGCAGGTCTTGTATCGTCCCGATAGTAAACTTTTCACGCAGAATTGGGGGCCATGGCCCAGGATGTTCGCAGTGGTGCCGAAGCGGCTGGCAGCAGCACGAAAGTTCCCCAAGCCGAAGATAGCCAAAGAGGGTTTGGGTTTGGGGTTTAAGGATTTAAGGGCCCGAGGCACCCTCAACCCTAAACCGAGTCCTAGAAGGAGCATCCCACGCAGATTTGGGGGTTTAGGGCTAGGGGCCTGAGGCACCCTAAACCTCAAGCGAGTCCTGGAAGGAGCATCCCACGCAGATTTGGGGGTTTTGGGTTTAGGGGCTGGGTGCCTGAGACACCCTAAACCTTAAGCGGGTCCTGGAAGGCGCCATGGGCAGTTATAAGTGGGATTTAGGTCCCCTACCATGGGTTAAAATTGTAGTACCCTGCTTATAACCCCATTTATAAGTACCCATGATCCTCCAAGCACGCAGATTCCAGCACACGCCTTTCGCGCAGTCTTGCGTGGCTTTTGTTACGCAGCCGCCGGATCTTCCCCTATCTCGTAGACCCTGAATATTGCATGGTTGAGATATGTATATGTGTATAAGTAACAAGAAATGTGTAAATAAAATACATGTAAATATACAGTCACAAATACAGATACAGATGCACATATGTATATAATATACATACATACATACATACATACATACCTATATGTATATGTATGTATGTATATATATATATATAGATATGTGCGCGTGTGTACGTCCATGTATATCATGTGTGCTATACATATATGCATACAAAACATATGATACCCTATAAACCCAAAACGGTCAGGTTGAGACCCGCCCAAACCCCTCAAATCCTCAATCTGCTTAGGCCTAGAGACTTTGAGTGAAGAGGGTAGGAATCCGATGGGGCAAGCTCCAAGCAGCGGCAGTTGCTGCTCCCCGTGCGAGCCGAGCAAGCAGCCGGACGTAGAGCAAGTTACACACCGCCCGGCCTCTGTGTTTCAGGTCTGGGGCTGGGCTGGCCTATGTTGGGTTTCGGGGATGTTTCGGGCTCCTTCTGCCGGCAAGGTCTATAGGGTTTGAGATTTGGTGTTGCAGGAGTCGACCGATGGTGGCCTCCAGGACAAAGAGCCAGAGGAAGTGCCCGTGGACGTGCGCGGCTCGAACAAAACGCTGGACCTCACCCTCACCGACCGCCAGCTGCTGCGGGGAATCCCTTTCTGCCAGACTTTGTGGCGTGGCGGCCGTGTCTGGGTTCTTGTCAAGGACTTTTCGTGTAAATGACTATAGTAAACAAACCATATTAGTTAGACTTAAACTAAAAGGAACCCTCATAGATCCCTTCAAGGCACCACTATAGATCCCCATTATGGTAACTTAAAACTAAATTTCTTAACAAGAACCCTTACAGATCCCTGAAAGCCGTAAAGGAACCCCTATAGATCCCTATTATGGTAACTGAAAGCTAAATTCCTTAAGAAGAACCCTTACCGGTCCCTCAAAGCAAAGGAACCCCGAAAGATCCCTATTATGGTAACTTAAAGCTAAATTCCTTAAGAAGAACCCTCACAGATCCCTTAAAGCCTTAAAGGAACCCCTACAGATCCTTATTATGGTAACTTAAAGCTAAACTCCTTAAGAAGAACCCTTACAGACCCCTTAAAGCCTTTCAGGAACCCCTATAGATCCCTATCATGGTAACTTAAAGCTAACTTCCTTAAGAAGATCCCTTACGGATCCCTTAAAGCCTTAGAGGAACAGGAACCTCTATAGCTCCCTATTATGGTAACTTAAGCCAAATGCCCTAGCAAGAGCTCAGGGGTCTGGAGGCACCCGCCCGATGCCCTTAGCCTTTCGGAGCGCTCCCAGCTCTATGCCTCCTCCAAGCCGGTGCAAGGACTATAAGGGTTCCTTCTGGGGCTCTCTTTAAGGGTTTCCTAAACGGGCTCTCTTAGGGTTCCTTGGAAGGCTCTTTAAGGGTTCCCTAAAGGGGCTCGTTAAGGGTTCTTTAAGGGTTACCTTAAGGTTTCTTTAAGGGGTTACTTTAAGGCGTCTGTAAGGGTTATTTTAAGGTTCCCTAGTGCAAGGACTGGACCGGTTCCTCTCTCACACTTGGCTGACGCCGGGATGGCGAAAGGTGCTGTCTTTGCTCCTGAGCAGCGGCTGGCCGTGCATGCTTACTGGCTGGGTGCTGGGAATGGTCGTGTCGATGGTGCTTTGCATGCTGGATGTGCTGCCCCTCACCTTCGAAACGGAAGGCACTGCGATCGGATTCTCCGGTGTCATTCCAATAGGCCACTGGGTATCACTCCTCGGGACCTCAACGGCGTTGGTGGGATTGGTCGTCTCTCCCTATCTGCCGTGCCGCAAGCGAGACATGTGCTTTCTTGATGTTGCATGCATCCACCAGGGGGACCAACACCTAATGCAGCAGGGCATCAACAACCTTGGAACTTTTCTGGAAGCATCCGAAGAGTTGCTCGTGCTTTGGGACACGCCCCTGTTCTCGCGCCTCTGGTGTGTCTTTGAACTAGCGGCCTTTAGCAAGCTGAATCCGAAGGGCAAGATTACCATAGCCCCGATCTACGTAGAGGCGGTGGCTTCTCAGCTCTTTTTGATTCTCTTGGCCGTAAGTTGCCTGGCGCTGCTCCTGCGAATTGGAGTTGCAAGCCGAGAGTTCTTGCTGCTTGCCTTGGCCTCATGCGCCTTGCTCTTGGCTCCGTTGCTGCATTCCTTGCGGGGCAAATGCCGCTGGAAAATGGAATTGGACGACGTTCTGGCAAACTTCGATGTTTTAAATGTGGACTGCACTGTGGAGGTTGACAAAGCCAACATCCACGCGGCCATTGAGCGGTGGTACGGCAGCCTCCCCGCGTTTTCGGAGTTCGTCCAGGGCCTCTTCCGCGCAAAGGCACGCGAGCTCACCCGGACCCCTGGCCGTATGCCCCTGGGCTACATCTACATGTTGGCAGCGCCCGCCGCCAACTGGTCCCTCGATGTGTGGCTGGGCCTATGGAAAGCAGGTGCCTCCTCGGAGGGCCTCGTTGCCTGGTTCGTGGGGGGCTTCCTCGCCTTCACCCTGCTGCGGCTAGGTTTCTCCAGGAGTACCCTTTTGCCCTTTTCCTTTTGGGTTCCGTCATCAACACCCAAAACTAGGAACAACGGTTACTCTCACTACTAACTGGCTACTGGGAACCCCAACCCTATAATGGGCTATATAATGGGAATATAATGGCTAATATTAAGGGTATATACCTAGGGGTCCTTATTAAGGGTCCAAACCTAGCCTAAACCCTAAACCCTAGGTGGTATCCCACAGTGATCGTCTTTGTGGTCTTCTCCTGCGAGCGCTGGGCGCAGCGTAGGTCCAGCAGACTCAGGGACTACCTCCAGACCCTGGTAACCTACCTTGAAGGGTTTAGGTTTAGGCCTTGAATTCTAGTTCATGGTTGGGATAGGATTAAAAACCTTATTGGGTTTAGGTACCCATAAGCATGTAAAGTGTTACCCAACTGTGACAAAGAATTGGAAAGGCAGGGTGTTGTGAAAGTCGATCTGCTTCGATGTTGAGGAGCTGATTTTGAGCTGCCATAATGGGGATCTGCAATCACTGATGGAGTTTCCATATCATGGCAACTCAGGTTTGGCTCCAGGGTCTGCATGAATCAGGGATCCTACATGAATTTTGCCCCTCCTCCTCGCCGCCCTAAACCCTAAACCCTAAACCTCCTGCTGAGGCGATCTACCTACTGACCTTTGCTGCATTCCTTGTCGGAGCCGTTGGAGCGAACCTTGCGTGCAACTGGGCTCTGGTTGAGGAACTTCCTATAAGTTACCATGACCCTGCCTACCGCCGGACTTAAATGAGGGCGTCTTAGACCCCCGAAAGCATGTTTTGCCTTGTCTGGACAAAAACGACCCCAAAACTGGCATGTGGGGCTACAATCCCATTTCAGTTCCGGTCCTTGCGGTGGACCTTAAATGCCAAAATGCTTTGAGAACCTGCTAGTTTCCGGCACCGGGTATGAGCACTACCGGATTGACTGCTTTCCTATTCCGGACAGTTCCTGTTGCTAGCAGCTGGTTGTCCACATTATGTTAGTGTCCGCATATTTCCGCCACCTTCCGATTCTTAACACAACGACTTAAAGGCTCCTTTACATGAGGGATCTACAGGGGTTCTATTGTTTAGAGGGGTGTAAGGGTCTACTTAAAGGATCATGGGACTTAGTAAACTTAGTAACTAGGGTTATAATTAGGGTAACTATACTTAACCCGAATCCAGCTACTTACACTTAGGGTAACTATACTTATAACCCTAATCAAGCTACTTCCAACCTTACTTACTAAACTACGTCCCATGATCCTCCAAGTTTCCGTTGCTAACGCAAGAACCCTGAACCCTAAACCCTAAAGTAAAAGCCAGAAAGTTGGAATATGATTATCCTAACCCTTCTATGGTAAATTATAGGGTGTCCTACCATGAAACCATATTCCAACTTTCTGGAGTTCCCTGTAAGAACCGAGGCAACCACAGCATCGGGCTGACGGCTCTGTGGACCTTGCTTGCGATGCTTTTCTCCGGTCTCACCTGGTACTTTTGCTGGCTGCGGTGAGAGAGGGGTGCGTCTCCGGGCCTTCTCTGGGTTCTTGTTCAGGAACTTATTCTAAGATACCCCTAGTAAGGATCAACCGTAATTACCATATCGTGGTAACCCAAAACTGAATTCCCTATCAAGACCCCAGTTGACGGCTCAGGGCTTACAGCCCTTGATTATGGTGTGGGGTTCAGGTTACACATTGGGTTCTGGGCACACGCCGAATCCCACGAGCCTTAAACCCTAATCCTTCTGCGCTCTTAGGAATGGTTTTTGTTACAATATAACTCCGACGGGTTTTTGATTTAATGGTTTTTGTGTTACAATATATATATATATATATATATATATATGTATGTATGTATGTATGTATGTATGTATATATATATATATGTATATGTATATGTATGTGTATATATATATATATATGTATATGTATATGTATATGTATATAACTCCGATAGACTATGAATGCTAGATGGCTTTTATGATGGTCAAAACGGGCCCTTATAAGAATCCGAAACCCAGACACCCTAAACCCTCAACCCTTAACCAAAACCCTAAACCCTAAGCCATCTCGGCCACCACCCAAAGGGTTTCAGAGGCGAGGCCGAGGCTCTCGGGCTGAGGCTTTGGGGTTTGGGTTTTGGGGCTTGCGGGTTCCTTTAAGGGCTTCTTTCAAGGGGGCTATAGGTTTAGAGTTTCTGGCTTTGGGCTTACTTACTTGGGGAGTTTTGGACGGACTGTGGACCGTGGGCGGGGGGGGGTTGGGAAGCGGAAGGTGTGAGTGTGCAGCGCTTTCCTTTTCAGGGCCTGAAAAATTAGTTTACTTGTAAGAGGGAGTTCTGAAGGAATAACATTAGTGTGTGTTATATTCGAATAATACCACCGAAGACCTTCTATTTGTCAAAGCGCCGATGGTAAATCCTGATGATCGCACCTGTAGCAAAACGTAGTGTTACAGGGGCCTCATACAACTCGGTTGTACTAATTGAGGTGCCCCTATTCAGCCCTTACAGTAACCCTTGTAGAGACTGCTTCAAAGGAACCATATAATTAAAACCCTAGCGAAATCAAACCCCTATACTAACCCTTATAGAATCTTATATCAAGGATCCTCATAAATGCCTATTCCCTCAAAGCCCAACAATAACCTTGATAGAATCCTTTATCAAGGATCCCATACAAAAAAAAAGCTTACTCTAATGTCTGATGACATAAATCCTGCATTACCTTAAGGACCCTAAACTATGGGAATGATGCTATATTCCTTCTTCTGGGTAATGCAGGATTTAGATCATCAGCCGAACTAGTAAGACATGTTTTTAAAGATCCCTGACGTCAGGAGATGCACCTCCTCGAAGACTTCGGGACCTCAACGCATTAATCCGCAGTCCGAGGGCACAAAAAAAGCTCAGGTTACTATAAGGGTTTAGAGTTTAGGGGTTTCAGGGTTTGGGGTTTAGGGGTTAAGGGTTTACAGGCTTAGGGTTTAGGTGTTTACTTGAAGGTTCATGGGTAGTTATAAGTGGGGTTATACGTAGGGTCACCCTAATTAATATAACATAACCCATGCTAGGGGACGTATAATAACCACACTTATAACTACCCATCACCCTCCAAGTAGGGCTCTCCCGGAAAATACTGAAGCCTTCATTGTGAGCTCAGTAATTATTGCTGACTAGCTATCTCCTTGCACGAGCTTTTGTAGCAGCTGTTGTTGACCTGAACCCGAAACCCGAGACTGCCCGAAAAATGGTGGATTCCGCTGGATGTGAGGAAGCTACCGGGGCCGAGATTCACGCCCTGCAAGGTCATCCCAGACTCACGCCAAACCCTATACCCGGACCTTAAACCCCCTAACAAGGAATTGTATCCCGGCCTGAAACATCGGATGCCTGTCCGAGGTTCTTAGGATTTTTTGGCCCTGGAGCTTCAGGCTTCTCTTGTTGAGGGGGTGAAGCTAGGTACGGCCCCCATACAGTAAGAGTCTATAATAGGGCTACTATTAAGGTCCTACTATATCTATATTATGAATATTATTCAACTATTACTGAGTGGGGGCCGTACCCAAGGGTGAAGGTTTAACGTTGGACATAACCTTAACATGAAGACCTGCAATCAGGCAACCCGAATTTCAAGAACCTGCCATGTGAGGGTTTCCGAAAATGGGGGACCCTAACATAGTACCGTAAATAGTAGGATCCTCACCAATAAGATCCCCCAAAATACGGTACCCCTAATTTTCGGAAACTTTCCATGTGGGCTAAGGTTTCAGGAACCCTAAACCCTAAACCCCTAAACCCCTAAACCCTAAACCCTAAGCCCTAAACCCCTAAACCCTAAACCCTAAACCCTAAACCCCTAAACCCTAAACCCCTAAACCCTAAACCTCTAAACCCCTAAACCCTAAACCCTAAACCTCAGGTTTCAGGGTTCAAGCACAGGGTTGGACTGCAGATGGGAGTCGGCAGTAATGCATGGCTCCAGCCCTGCCGTATCAGCAAGCAACAGGTTAGAACAAGGCCAGGCTACTATAGGGGCCTAAGTAATTACCAATATTATTAGGGGGGGTCCTTATTATTACTATTATTGTAAACCCTAGTCTAATTACTAAGGCCCCTATATTAGGCTAGGTGGTGCTACAGAGCTGCAAGAAGAAGCTGGTTAGAGATTTCCGTTTGGATTTGATCTGCTACTGCTTTGATCGATTAAGGGTTATACGAGAGTAGTCTCGCAATTTTTTGCTGCCATGGGTGCAGGGCCCATCCTTGCACCGGGCATTGAGCGGACAGTGCGGAACACAAGGGCAGAACCTGGATGTAAGGGTGCTCCTTGCTGTCCCGCAGCTACGGATGAGCCGCTCGGGGTCTGGGCTGTGGAGCGCCTCCAGAGTAGTGATGAGGCTCAATTAGAAGACATCGTAGATTTGGATGAAGTGGCAGCTGCTGCCATCATCTCTGCAGACCTGCACATTGACTTACCAGCATCTGAAGAACAGTTGGAGACCATGTCGTTCGAGGCGGCCGCGGCACACCACCGCACCGATTCCCTGAGATACAATCGAGGCCCTTCGCAGAGAAGCACTGGATCCACAGGACACCCACCGTCAGTGCATGAGTCAGTGACGACTAATCAGGTTTCGACTCCCAGCGAGAGCGTGGCACAACACCGCACCGATTCCCTGCGATACGACCGAGGACCTTCACAAAGAAGCACTGGATCCATGGGACACCGTTCATCACTGCGGGAGACGATGACCAGTAATCAGGCTTCGACTCCCAGCGAGAGTATCGGCTCTTTGGTCACGATGACCAAGACAGACAGGTTCAACTCGCAACGGTACTCGCTTGTGGATGAGGAGAGTGCCGAATCAATCTACAGCTGTTGTTTGCCATCACTACTACTACTACTACTACTACTACTACTACTACTACTACTACTACTACTACTAACTGCTACTACTACTACTACTACTGCTACTACTACTACTACTACTACTACTACTACTACTACTACTACTACTACTACTACTACTACTACTACTACTACTACTACTACTACTACTACTACTACTACTACTATACTACTACTACTACTACTACTACTACTACTACTACTACTACTACTACTACTACTACTACTACTACTACTACTACTACTACTACTACTACTACTACTACTACTACTACTACTACTACTTACTACTACTACTACTACTACTACTACTACTACTACTACTACTACTACTACTATACTACTACTAACTACTACTACTACTACTACTACTACTACTACTACTACTACTCCTACTGCCTACTGCTACTGCTACTACTGCTACTGCTACTGCTACTGCTGCTGCTGCTGCTGCTCCTGCTACTGCTACTGCTACTGCTACTGCTACTACTACTACTACTCCTACTCCTACTCCGACTACTCCGACTACTCCTACTACTCCTACTACTCCTACTACTCCTACTACTCCTACTACTCCTACTACTCCTACTACTCCTACGACTCCTACTACTCCTACTACTCCTACTACTCCTACTCCCACTCCTACTCCCACTCCTACTCCTACTCCCACTCCTACTGCTGCTGCTACTGCTACCGCTACTGCTACCGCTACCACCAGTACCACGATGAGGGCCTTCACCATCTTCGCCATCATCAGTTTCAGCATTATCAACAGCAACATCATCACCAGGATCATCGTTTGAATCGTTGGCATGATTATTAACCCTGAACCGAAACCCTAAACCCCTTAACCACTAAACCCTAAACCCTAAATCACGAGCCCTAAACCCGTGCCTAGTCACCCCTGGTCTTCAGTAGATGGTTAGGGGCATCTCTCTCCGGCGATCCCTGGTGCACATGGGCCGAGTGTGGCGCTACAAGGCCGCGACGTGGAAGCCGGAGCATCGCGCGGCGCTGTACCAGCTTTCACGAAGCGTCTTAGGTTTCGATGTCTTCGTATCACATACTTGGCGGACACCTGGATGGTGGAAAACTCTATCCCTGTCCTTCCAGTGCGGCTGGCGCAATGCTCTTTGCTTATGGCTTGTGGTTGAGGTCGCGGTCTTCGCTTTATGTCTTGCGGACGTGCTTCCCATGCCGTGGGTTTACGAGGCGAACGTCATGGGCTTCACAGAAGAGCCTCGGCTCTTTGCAGAACCTTCAACTGCGGAAAGCTGAAGTGAGAACCCCTGGGATCCAAAGCACCCACAGTCATAGACCTTGTGATAGAGGGGTCTTTAGCATAAGAGCCCTGAGTAATACTGTTGGTTTTGTCCGGCCTTGATATGGGAGTTTCCTAAAATTAGGGGTACCTTATTTGGGGGCCCTTATAAAAAGGATCCTACTTTTGGGGGGTACTTTATTAGGATCCCTATTTTCGGAAACTCCCTTTTGTGCGGCTCCGTAGTTAGAGTTTAGGTCTACATTGCAGCTTCCAAATCTCAGCATTCGAGACCGTGTCTCCTTAGAGTGGCATCCCACTCTGCCTTATTGAAAGCTTG